ATAATTAAAAATTATTAGCAATCTGGACGATATCTATTTGAGAGATCATATATAAATATATTCAATACTTCAAGGACTAAAATGATACAATTAAAATATTATGATCTAAAATGAGACAAACTTAATGCTTTAGGAATTTTTAGTATAATTAATCCTTTATTTTATAGGATGCCATACGATCTAAAATCATTAAATAAAAAAAAAAAACCAAAATTGCAGCTAAAATCGTTATGAAACTCAATCAACCTACGAGGTCCCAAATAGGCAGTTGAAAATTGACGTTATTAGTAAATGAAAAAACCCATGGAATTATTAACAAAACACAAAATAGTTTAGATTCTACACCGTCCATGTTTGGATACACGAATAGTGGAGTCCTTCATCTGGATTTCGACTTGTTTGGAAACATAAAGGCGTCGGATAAGAGTCTGCGCCGTGACATAAAAGGGTCTCATCACCTCCCTGCGCACATTAGGGTTCCCCCTCAGCTCACTCCCCCCCCCCCTCTCTCTCTCTCTCTCTCTCGAGTGTTCGATGATAGCATTCTTCCATATCTTTGATTTGGGTAAGTAATCACAAAACCCATTTCCGTTTTTTTTGTTCTTCCGAGGGATACAAAATGGTCTTAGCTTAACGATAATGTCTGAAGACTCTGGGCAGATGATGATGGTTTATGATGATCACTCAGATCAAAGATCGTTATCTTTGGACGATTCGAGCAGCGCAGAAGAGGAATCACCAGATGAAACCAGGCTTTCCTTAGAATCCACAAATGAGGCAATCCCTTATATTGGGCAAAGATTTATAACTCATGATGCTGCTTATCAATTCTATACCGAATATGCGAAGCGTTGTGGTTTCTCGATCCGTCGTCATCGCACAGAAGGTAAAGATGGGGTGGGTAAAGGACTTACAAGACGCTACTTTGTCTGCCACCGTGCTGGTAATACTCCAATGAAAACCTTAAACGAAAACAAACCTCAGAGAAATCGAAAGTCATCTAGATGTGGATGTCAAGCTTATATGCGGATAAGCAAGACAGGTGATGAGTTAGGAGGTCAAGAATGGCGAGTTACGGGTTTTGCAAACCACCATAATCATGAACTCTTGGAACCAAACCAAGTTCGTTTTCTTCCTGCGTATCGAACCATATCAGATACGGACAAAAGTCGTATCCTAATGTTTGCCAAAACTGGAATTTCTGTGCAGCAGATGATGAGGTTAATGGAGCTTGAGAAGTGTGTGGAGCCTGGGTATTTGCCATTCACAGAGAAGGATGTTAGGAATTTGCTTCAATCATATAGGAAAGTGGATCCAGAGGATGAGAGTATAGACTTACTGAGAATGTGTAGAAACATCAAGGAAAAAGACCCAAATTTCAGATTTGAATTTACACTTGATTCAAACAATAATAGGTTGGAGAACATTGCTTGGTCCTATGCCTCCTCGATTCAGTCATATGATATCTTTGGTGATGCTATTGTGTTTGATACTACACATCGCCTGACTGCTTTTGATATGCCTCTTGGAATATGGGTTGGGATGAATAATTATGGTATGCCTTGCTTCTTTGGTTGTGTCCTCCTAAGAGAGGAGAACTTGAGGTCATTCTCATGGGCTCTAAAGGTAAATTAGGACCAATTTTTTTCTGAACCAATTGATGAACTTATCTTAGGCATGTGTGTGACCCCTTCCCCTTTTCCCTCGACACACAAAAATTGCCCACATTAGATATACCAAAATTGTTAATTTCAAATTAGATATACCAAAATTAATACATTAGCATTTGGCCTAGACTTTAAGTGGTGGATGGTTAGACTTGATCATATAGGTTTCAATGGTGGCCGAGTCATTTTGTTTCATTTGATGAACTTCTTAACTAATGTTATAAAATTTTCAATATGTTGGGAAGTTCAATTGTCTGAAAAGATGAAATGGGTCATTATCTGATCTGGTGATAAGTTATTCAAGTCTTCTCTATGAGATGCAAATGTGATTATTTTGAATCATATAATTGGGGTTTAGTACTGATTGGTACCTTAGTTGAGCCCTGATCGTCCTACAGACACTGGTCTAGTGAGGTTGGTGTATGTTATTGGGGTAGACCCAAACTCTTCCTTTGGAAAGGCAGGTTATTTGAAGAAGGCACTGATAAGTATTTTATCACTTTTAAACTGTCACTTCCAATACAATGAGAACTTATTTTGATTCAATTCAATTTGCACTTTGTGTTTGTCCTCAGTGCTCAATGATTTTGTCCCTCACCTACAATACTCTCTCACTCTCTCTCTCGCGCGCGCGCGCACACACACACGAAAAAAAAAGAAGATAATCTTCAAATAACATGCATATTCTTTCCTAAATATTCATGCTATATAAGATTTATGTTGATATACTGCTTTGTTTTTTTTTTTTTTTTTATGTGAAAGGCATTCTTAGGATTCATGAATGGAAAGACTCCGCGTACAATATTAACTGATCAAAATATGTGTCTCAAAGAAGCAATAGCAATGGAGATGCCAACTACTAAGCATGCACTTTGTATTTGGCTGATAGTGGCAAAATTTCCATCCTGGTTTAATGCTGTCTTGGGGGAACGTTACAATGAGTGGAAGTCTGAGTTCTATCGACTCTATAATCTGGAAGCTATTGAGGATTTTGAACTGGGGTGGAGAGACATGGTCAATTCTTTTGGGTTGCATACTAATAGGCATATAGCCAGTTTGTTTGCCTTGCGATCGCTTTGGGCATTGCCATACTTGAGGAGCCATTTCTTTGCAGGAATGACTACATCTGGCCACTCAAAATCAATAAATGCTTTTATTCAACGTTTTTTGAGTGCACAAACCCGGCTTGCACAATTTGTGGAACAAGTATGTTCTCTAGTCCTATTGCTATTAAATAAACTGGATTCAGAAGTATTGTACTGCATTATATCACAGTTTGTACACATTTGTTGACTGCATGTGAACAATACATTGAAACAGATTAAGATCTTCCACTTATGTTTGTTTCCTTTGTGATTTTTTTGGGTCAGTCTTCACTTGTGGATCTTGAAAAGCTTGAATTAGGATCTTGTACATGGCCTCTTTTCACCTAGAGCTTCAACATTACTGGACGTTTCTGGTTCATGAGCAGTGCTGAAGCAAAAAGAATGACCCTAGCCTTTTGCTGAAGAAGAGGACAAAATTGCTTAAATTAAAAACCCATTTCTAGCATTTTTGGAATTTTTATTAATACTCTTCTTTATGATCCTTCCAGACTCGATTTTTCAAGCTGAAGCAAGTCTTTCTCTTTCCTGGAGGGAAAAGATTTTGGATTATCTTGCAGTACTGAACTGTTTGTATTGACCTGTTCAGGTTCATGAGCTCACAACTAACTGTGCTACATTTAATTAGGAGAATGATTTTTATATTACTCAAAGGAAGGGTTGAAATGGCAACATAGTTCGGTTCTTTCACTTTAACTGACGAGTGACGAAAGACTACTCTTTTGTTTTTGTTGTGGGGACATTTTGATGGGGAAAACTTTTTTATCAACCCTTAAAAGGGGTCCCATCTATTTAGTTTGACGTAAAATTGCTTAACTTGTTAATGAGGATTACTTCATCTTATGTGAGGTTATACATGTGATGAAATTTGGGCAGCATTAGTGCTGGTAGTAGAAACAATGTTACCCCTTACCATGTGTGTGGATCGGTCCAAGCTTGTTTGACTTGGCTAACTTAAGTTATTGAGATGCAACTAGTAGCAGATATCATTGTGATTTGTTCTGATCACATTCTAGGCTTTTCCAATATCATATTGATGGAAGTGTGAGGGGACGATCCGAGTTATAGTAAACATGGACTGCATATATCCACCAACATTGGCTAGAGTCTAGATTGTCCATCTAAAGTTACTCAAGGATATACTAAGAACCAAGGTTACAATGGTCAAGATGAAACAAGTGCCTTACTTCTGATAAAAGATGGGCTACGGTTGTTACTCGGGGGCACCGGGGGGGTGGGGGTGGGGGTGAGGCTAGGTTGCGGGAAGGAGGGGACAGGGTCTGGTGGGTGTTTGGAGGCCGTGGGACTATTCTCACAAAAGGAAACTTTATTTATATTACTTTCGGGGTGAGTTAAAATTTGTCCATTGATGTTAAATAATCAACCAATTTTAATGATTGTGACAAATCAAGAAATTTCAACTGATTTGCAATGAATGTTGATTATTGTTTTGATGGGCGAAGTTACACCATGTAAACTAGTGAAATTACTCATCCTGCTACCACTGACACAGTTTGCACAATCAGGTTGCTGTTGCTGTGGATTTTAAAGATCAAGCAGGAGAACAACAAACAATGCAACAAAATCTTCAGAACATTTGCCTGAAAACAGGGGCTCCAATGGAATCTCATGCTGCCACAGTGTTAACGCCTTTTGCATTTTCTAAGCTCCAAGAACAACTTGTTTTGGCTGCCCACTATGCATCATTTCAGATGGAAGACGGATTCCTTGTTAGGCACCACACAAAACTTGAGGGAGGCCGGAAAGTATACTGGGTGCCACGGGAAGGCATTGTAAGTTGCAGTTGCCATCACTTTGAGTTCTCTGGAATCCTTTGTCGGCATGCTCTTCGGGTTCTCTCTACAGGAAATTGCTTCCAAATCCCAGAGAGGTATCTTCCTGTCCGCTGGCGTCGAATCAGCACACCATCCACCAAGTTCCTTCAGACTATTCCAAATGATCATGCAGACAGGGTTCAGTTACTACAGAGTATGGTATCAACTCTTGTAGGGGAATCTGCAAAGTCAAAAGAGCGGCTTGATATTGCCACTGATCAGGTTTCCATCCTTATATCTCGTATAAGAGAGCAGCCAGTTTCTTCACAAGGTATGAGAGATATCTCCTCCATACATAGGAATCTTTGAATTGAGGGATATTTTTAAACATCATACTTAGAATTGTTGTAAAAAGCAGAGACATACCTGAGAAAATGTGGGGTTATGACCCCAAGATGGGTGGTTTTGTAAAGTTAGATATGGGATATCAGCTTGTTTTTGTGAAGGTAGGGAGCTGGCTTGTGGGTTAAACTTATTGGATGCCATTTTTGTAGTTCTGTTACATGCAATCACAATCATACATGGTGTGAAAATATTTTATCCGGCAGATATGTAGAGTGAGTTATAAGAGTTCAAAATATGGCTGGGCTAGCAATATCGTTGTAGCCAGCGATTCAACACCTTTGATCTGGCATATGCTGAAGCTAGAATTGCTGTGGACTTTTGATGTATAGCCAAGATATCAGTGTCAAAAGGAGTAGATCAATGCATAAATTAAGAGACCACTTTTGATAATTTAAGATGTTTTCTTAGTTGGCTTGCTTAAGGACACCATTATATGTGGTACATTTTCACTTGAACAATCGAGCACTGGCCATTGTGTTGTTCTATTATTACCTAGGCGTCATATACTCGAGGAGCATCTCTCCTTGCATGGGTAAAGTTGTGTGTATGTAACCATTTTTAGATCCTGTAAAGTGGGGTACTCCCCCTTCTCTTTCCGCTCTTTCTTCCTTTTTCAGGTCTCGTGTGGCCATTAGGATATTGCTCCCGTGGTGTTTATATGTGATCCAGAGAATTGTAGTACAATTACAAACAGAATTTTGGTAAACATTCCTTGGACTTAAGCTTGTAGGTTGTCACTGATTCAATAGAGTTCTAGCGTGAGAAGAAAGACACGGCAGAGTTGGGGTGTTTTGGAACTTGAATCATATGTGAAGCTCTCGTGGGCTGTCTCCATGTGCGTAGTGCACGCGCATGTGGGCCGGGCTAGATTTGTCAAACCACCGGCTCAGGTTGTTGGGCTATTGACGGTCAATGGGCCGAGTCAGGCCAATGATAACACCCACAGTGTTAGTCCAGGTGAGACTTTTTCTCGTGTTAATAATGAAATATCAGGAATTGCCAGAACATAAAATCAAATATCTGAGACATGTCGTTGTAGCCTAAAACACATTGTTCAAGTGTTTACCCAAAGCATGGTTATCGTATGTCGTACGATCTCAATGTAATGCAGTACAATACTCTGAATCAATGTTACTCGCAAGAGACTCGAACCAAACCTCTATCGGAGTCTTGCACTCGATAGTTGTTGATGGAGACCTATGATAATAAGTTGTATAAATTTAAATAATATTATTTTTATACAGAATGTGTTTTATATATATAATTAAATTAAATAATAAATTAAGTATTGAATAATTATTTACTTCTTAATAAAAAAAAATCTGTTATTTATTTAGGTATCTCTTTAAACATTTGTACATCTAATTATATATTATATATAATTATTAATTTTTATTTTGTTACATAGATTAATTAAATCACTTATAATTTGATTTCGTAACAATTTTAGATCTTTTCAATTTTATTATGTCATCATAATCATTCAAGCAAGTGCATTTGTCTGTAAGAGTGACACTCTTCCATTGATTAATATTACCTATCCATGGAATTGAGCTTTTTCATACCAAAAATGAAAGAGGTAAAAAGTGTTTTTCAAAATTCAAGGAGAGCCTCTCAGACCACACTTCAGCTCTGTCATGGACTACATACGAATCGAGTCATAAACTAAAGTAAATGTTCATTCATGCTTATTCATTTATCAAACTAATTGAGTTCGAGCTCCTTTCAAAACTCTCTTAATAGACAAAATTAGCCCCATGATTGATATATTTAACTCTTTAAGCTCGTGAAAATAGACACATACAATGCAAAATTTACATAATAAAATAAAAATATTTTTAAAATTTTTACACTAATAAAGCACAATAAATTTTAAAATTATTGCTAATTCTATTTGCGATGCTGGTTCGATTCAATTTGTGAAATTTTTTGCCGTTGCTAACATCAGCGCCCACCACCATTATCATTGCTCTACCACCACCACTGCCAACCATAATTATCGTTGCCCCACAACCACCACCATCGTTATTCATGCTTGTCACTATCACCATTGTCACTCAAAACCCACCACCACCATTATCGCTGCCACTCACGTCCACCACCACCACAATGGTCGTCGCTGCCTACCACAATCATCACCGTCTCTCACCACCACTATTGCCGCCCATTATTACTACTACCGCTCACCTTCAAATACAACCGGTACTTAAATTATTTTCTCTCTTGTTTGTGACTTGATTTTGTATGTGAATACAAATAATTTTATAATTGATAATTTTTTTATTATTTCGTATCTTCAGGTACGAACAATAACTAAAATGATCAAATCATCTTTCTGGCCAGTTTTTATGTTATGTAATATCGAGTTGACATAATACGCTCAACTTGAGGCCCAATATCAGAAATCAACCAATTGATTTCACACAATTACTTCCAACCTCTAAAAAGTTGGGATTAACCACCTTTATAAGTTGCAACCTGATATAATCCCTTCATTCATAGTAATGGCCACCGCCACTCATGTTGGACCCTATGGTCGCAGATTCGAATTTCGTCGTTCCTTTCCTTATATAGTGTTTGACCAAAAAAATAAAATAAAATAATCAATCATATTTCCTACTAACATAAATACTATTGAGAGAACATATGAAAATTAGTAAGTCTAAATCCGAATGAGCCGAAATCAACTATTTTCACACCATCCTCTTCTAATAAATACCAAAAAAATATAAAATAAAATTTCGCCTTCCAGTTCACCTTTCAGTCATAAAAGTAACTTCTCAGTAACTATTGGAATTCATCTTTCTTCAATTTTGTTTATCAGTTTGACAATATGCATTACACATTAATTTTTTTTTTTGGAAATTAAATGTTTCCATATCAATAGACTTTTGGTCCAATGATACTCCTTACTTTATGAAAACTTTGTCTTCTTGAGATCAAGGGTTCAAGTCCTCCTCCTTCCTCCCTCCCCTCCCCTCAATAAAAGATAAATAACTCCATTGATCAAAATGTATTTACAAGTAAGAGTAATGTTAGATGAACTTAAAAACTAAACTTGATAATCTCAACTATTGAATAGGTAGTGGGTTCTAATAAATGCTGAGACCCACAGTAAAATTAATGGTTGTAATTATCTGATTTTTAAATCTACTCAAGTAAAAGATGGCTTTATACATGCGTATGCATTAACCTTTCGTTCACAAATTACTCAAGAGCCAAGGGAACACATAACTCCAGAGCCAAGACATCGTAAATCGAGCTTCTTATTCAACTGGGGTCCATCCAAATATTCTGTTAGTAAGCAAATGCCTTTGAAAGCAAGGCACTTAGCTTGTATATATGTGGAAAACTTGGCACTTCACTCTGACTTACCAAGACTTTCTGTTTATCATGGAAGGCACACTCAACATTAAACAGTGATACTCAAAGAACACGGTGTGGAAACGGTCTAAGACTATCCGACACTGAAGTCATTGGCATGTAACGGACTTTAAGGGATCGTAGCCCTGTTTGTGTACTGAATTTCTTAGGGGGTATACCTTTTTAGCCTTTTTCTTGGCGAATGTTGATGATGAGAAGATAATTGTAACTCTCATGGCTCAATTATTCTTCTCCCGTACAAATCACTTAAATAAACAATTCCCAGTCCCACTGTTTTTGTTTTTGTGTTTTTTTTTTCCCCAATGGACTGGACCATTCCCCCTGTTTGGAATTGCTTGAACTCTTCATTTTCCCTTATATAGTGCTTGACTAAAAAAATTGAATAAAATGCTCAATCATATTTCCTGCTAACATAAATACTATTGAGAGAACATATGAAAACTCAAGTTCTTGTGTGTGTTTCTGTAACACCAATTTTTTTTTTTTTTTGGCGAATATTTTTAGAGTGCACTAGTACTAATGCTACCACATAGATAGGTTAAGGACAATGCAAATAATTTGAATACATTTTTCACCACTTAATTCAAGTAGCTTTTTGTATTTAGGGATGGCCTAACAAGTATCAAACTTGCAGTGCTAAGACACTGTTTCTAAGAAGTAATTTTAAGAAAACTTTTTTTTTTTTAAATATGTTTTTTGGGGAGGGGAGGGGAGGAGAGGAGAGGGGGGAAGTGAACTTGAACCCTTAATCTAAAAAAAGCAAAGGCCCATTGGTATTTTAAGAAAACTAGAGTATATATATTGAAAAAGCAATATGATTTCCCTCCCAAAAACTATTTTAAAAAAAAAAAAAAACCTTCAAAGGCCGGACTGAATTGCAATGAGATGTTGGAATAAGCCTCTAGTGCACCTTTCAGTCATCTAAGTAACTGTAGGAATTCATTTTTCTTCAATTTTTTTCATCATTATTCATTTCGAATTAAATTTTTTTTTCAGAAATTAGATAATTCCATACTAATGAGCTTTTAATCCAATGATACTCTTTACCTTATAAAAATTTTGTCTTTTTGAAGTTAAGGGTTCAAATTCTCCTATCTCCTCTCCTTATAAAAAAGGTTTCAAGTTCTCCACCCTCCTCTCCTTACAAAAACTTTGAAAGCAAGGCACTTAACTTGTATATTGGTGGACAACTTGGCTCTTCACTCTGACTTACAAGACTTTCTGTGTGCCATTTGATCACGGAAGGCACATTCAACATCAAACAGTGATACTTAAAAGAACACGGTGTGGAAATGGTCTAAGGCTATCCGACACTGAATTTCTTGGCTCTATTTCAGGGTACACCTTTTTAGCCTTTTTCTTGCCGAAAGTTGATAACTTGGATAGACTTCCTTTTGTCTTAATTAGTCAGTGTTCAGTGTTTGTGTTTTTGTGTTTTTTTTTCTCAATGGATTGGACCTTTCTTCCCACTGTTTTGAATTGCTTGAACTGTTCATTTTCCGTTGATTTTTGCTTTTGTTCTCAAAAGGTCATCACCTTATCATATTCTGAAGGTTGTATATAATGAGTTTCTTTCCATGCATCTAACAAACTCTACTCAACTAGCCTCGGAAGAACATAACCTCGAAAAATACCCCTGGACTTGTCATATTGAAGCAAGAATGGTTACTTGGGGAGCCCTCCTTCATTTTCTTATCATTCTGTCTTTACCACTGTTTTCTAAATCTGTGTACCATGAAGAATCCAGTGAGCTGAAAACTGAGGCTGGTGATCTTAACCTGAGGTGCATCGACATTGAACGGAATGCACTCCTTAAGTTCAGCGAAGGCCTTATTGATCCTTTCGGTCAACTTGCTTCTTGGGTTGGCATAGATTGTTGTAGATGGAAGGGTGTTCACTGTCGCAACCAAACTGGCCATGTTGTAAAGCTTAACCTCAGAGCAGTGTCTTACTCATCACGGTTGGGTGGTAAGATAAGTCCTTCTTTGCTTGACTTGAAATATCTGAAGTACTTGGACCTAAGCATGAATGATTTTCAAGGAATTCCAATCCCAGATTTCTTCGGTTCATTTGAGAGAATGCGTTATCTCAATCTCTCTTGTGCATCTTTTTCTGGGATTGTTCCTCCTCACCTTGGAAATCTCTCAAATTTGCGTTATCTTGATCTCCTCGCGTATTCAAATCCCTATGATTACATTGGAAGTAACTGGGTCTCAGACTTAAATTGGGTCTCTGGACTCACTTCTTTGAAATACCTGGACCTAGGATACATCAACCTTAGTTTGGAAACTAATTGGCTGCAGGCTCTAAATACGCTTCCTTCCCTTTCTGAATTGTACTTGTACTACTGTGGACTGCAAAACATCCCTCCCTCTCCACTGAATTTGAATTTCACTTCCCTTTCCGTCCTTGATCTATCTTATAACCATTTTAACTCTCTCCCTCAATGGTTGTTCAATATCAGTTCCCTTGCGACACTTAGACTTTCTTCTTGTTATATGAAACCCTCCATTTCAAAAGCTGCTTGGGAAGATTTGTGTCATTTGCAGGCTTTAGATCTTTCCTATAATGAAATCGCAGGCGACATAAGTGATTTAATAGGGGCTCTGTCTCGATGCAGTAATCATAGCATAGAAATGTTAAAATTGTGGAATAGTCATATGAGTGGACAGCTGCCTGAGTCATTAGGGTTCCTTAAAAATCTAAGGTTCCTTCATCTGGATGAAAACTTGATCACAGGTCCAATCCCGGAATCTATTGGAAAGTTGTCTAAGTTGAACTATTTTGGCCTTGCCGAGAACCAGTTGAATGGAACAATCCCAGAAAGTGTTGGAAAACTCACAGAGCTAACTGAATTGTGCCTCTATAAAAATTCTTGGGGAGGTGTCTTATCCCAAAAGCATATGGAAGGCCTCAGGAAACTGGAATATTTTTCCGTATCATCTTCAAATGAAGCGTTTTCAATCAATTTGAGTGATGAATGGGTTCCTCCTTTTAGTCTAAGATTCATTGAAATCGACAGCTACCCCTTGGGTCCAAAATTTCCAACATGGCTTAAAACTCAGAAACAACTTGATTCTATAATCCTCACGAATGTTTCTGTTTCAGGCACCATACCCCATTGGCTCAAGAAATTATGTCCACAGATTCAACGGTTAGATCTTTCTTATAACCAATTAGGTGGAATGCTTCCTGATTCATTAGCATTTCCGGGGTATACAAGAGTGATAGTCGACTTCAGCTTCAACCGCTTAAGCGGTCAGATCCCCCTGTGGCCTAATGTGACACATCTCATTTTGGCGAATAATTTGTTTTCTGGATCGATACCCACAAACATTGGCCAAGTGATGTTGCGACTAAATATTTTAGATCTTTCGGGAAACTTGTTGAATGACAGCATTCCATTGTCTATCAGCGATATGGTGTACTTACAAAGGCTAGATCTATCAAACAATCTTTTGTATGGAGAAATCCATGAAAAATGGAGGAATTTGCAAGAAATTCGAGTCATAGATCTATCGAGGAACAATCTATCCGGTAACATTCCTAATTCAATATGTTCAATGCCTAATCTTTTTTGGTTAAAATTAAGCAGCAACAGTCTTTCTGGAGAACTCTCATCACTGAAAAACTGCACAAGCTTGAGTGCTCTTGATCTTGGAGGCAATGAGTTTTCAGGGAACATACCACAATGGATTGGAGAGAGCTTGTTATCACTAGTTGTGCTAAGTATCCGAGCCAACATGTTTTATGGAAATATTCCTGAAAAACTTTGTCATCTTTATAATCTTCACATCTTGGACCTAGCAGATAACAATTTATCTGGATCCATCCCATCATGCCTGGACAATTTCAGTAGTTTGAGTTCTTGGACCCCTTACAGTCCATATTCACACTATTCTTACTGGAACTACGTGTTTATACCCCAGATGGTGCTGGTTGTAAAGGGATTGCCAATTATGTACACCCTCACACTTTATCTTGTTAAGGCTATTGATCTTTCAAGAAACAATCTCCGAGGAGATATCCCTGAAGAGATAACACATCTCTCAACATTGGGTAGCTTAAATTTATCTTGGAACCAATTGACAGGAAAAATACCAGATAGCATTGGAAGCTTAAAACAGTTGGAAGCTCTTGACCTCTCACACAACAATCTTTCAGGTCCAATTCCTCTGAGCCTAACCTCTATAACCTCATTGAGCAAATTGAATGTGTCATATAACAACTTGTCTGGAAAAATTCCATCAACCAACCAATTCCAAACGTTCAATGATCCATCCATTTATGAGGGTAACCCTGGACTTTGGGGGAGTCCATTGCAAACCCCGTGTCTGACAATCAACAAAGGGAAAGTTGAAGGTTGTGAGGCCAAAGATTACGACAACGATGAGGATGACACATTACCATATTACATTAGCTTGGTACTAGGATTCGGGATTGGATTTTGGGTAGTATTTGGCAGTTTGGTAATGAAGAGGTCCTGGAGACATGCCTACTTCAGATTCCTAGATAGAGTAGCGGATTGCTTATACATCTTCATTAAGCTGAACATGGCCCATTTACAAAGAATGATGAGCAAGGAGTGAAAAAGAAACTTCAAGCCAGTATAAAGGTATCTAGTCCTTTTATATTTTTCCTATTTGTGTTCCTCTTATTTCCAATGACCTTCTGTTTTGTAGTTGATGTAGGAGTTCCAATGGAAAAAGGTTGAAGTCATGGAAACTAATGGAAGGTGACTTCATGGCTTTTGGGTAACATCAAGTCTCTCCCCCCTTTCTTTCTCTCTCTCTCTCTCTCTCTAATATGTGTGTGTGCCTGTGTATGCATATATGTGTATGTATGTATATTTCAGTTTTTTTGTTGTTGCTAAGTTGTGCTTTGTGTTTACTGCAGAAAATGGGTCCATTAGAAAGATGAAACTTGGAAAAAAATAAGTTTACAGAGGAAATATTTAGTTATTTATTGTTATTGTGAAATAGAAGACTTTATTGTATGTATTAAGTTTTTGTTGTATGTATGATATGGTGTGATTTACATTAGAGAGTGCAACTTTTGGTCATGCATTGGGTTATTTGCCCTCTGGCTTTGGCCCGAATTATGATTACCTATTTTGTTTAAAGGGCACTAAATGTCAAAGCTTATATGCTCGGCTAGGCCAATCGCAATGCAGTTACATTATTCAAACATTTCAAAAAATCAAGGCTAGTAGATGAATTGGTAAATCTATTATTATTAGCAAAGGGAGAGAGTGGAGCCCAATGTCCACTCTATGCAAAAAAATTTTGAATTAAGGGAGAGTAGGGGATGGCAATTTTCTGGGTTTTCCATGTAAAATTTCTACAATATCTTGTTTTATTTTACCTAAACCACCAATAACTTACTCTCCAACTACAGTCATTTGCACGTAGTCATTGTAGGTTTATCTTTGTCTTGTTCAAACTTCCCTATCTATCTCTCCCTCTTCTATCTAAATCATTTTGCTATCACGCTCATGGATGATGTATGTAGAACGATTTTGTTGACTTAACACAAAGAAAAAAAAAAGATTAGTGAGAATATCCATGTTTCTTACTTTCATCGCACTGCCCTGCTGCAACACACGAGTTTCCCCTTCCCCCTTGGCCGAGCACCACCTCCAACCTCACCCACCAACGTTGCCCCCAAATCACCAAGCTTGAAATTCTAGACCTAGAAAAATACTCCCCTTTATCAGTAATTCAAAAACTTATCTCGAATCAACCTACTTTGAAACTTCATTATAAATACAGACAATTACTCCCCTTTCATATGAACACATTGTTTTCCTCTCTAATGATTAATGTGTAAAGGAATTCTTATATCTCATTGATTACCAAGAAAGAAAATTGTGTTGCAATATGAACTACAATAGGGTCAACTATATATTAGAAGAAATCACCTCTATTATAAATGACCTGCCCTGGGCAAGATTTGTCCCAACATAAAGGAAGACAAAATGCTTCTAAGCATGTTAGGTGTGGCAACAAAACAATAGCTCGATCTCTGGTCTATTGCTTCTAGTTCTCTTTCTAGAATCAGCAACATGATTAGATTTCTAGACAAGTTGTATACCAAACTTCCAGAAGAGAAAGTATAATTTTAACAGGCTAATGGATTCACAATAATATAGACACTTGGACTTCCAAGTACAGGTACTCAAATTCTCTTTTTGTTGTAACATATAGTTGATTTGACTTCCCATTTGATACATTCATGTAAAAATGCTTCCTAATTTCATTGCTAAACCAGTTCTCGATCTCTCGCGCTTCTTGTGTAGTTTATTTTTTAGCCTACAACATGCCACCAAAACTATTTTTTTCCTGTAGTGGTTTAAATGTTCTCCCAAATCCCAGCAACATATTTAGGAATTTCAATATGTTAATTCAGCAGAATGATCGCACTTTCTAATGATTTTAAGCATTGAATGCAGTTCAGATTGTTAGAAATAGAATTAGGACTTTTTGTATGGGATTTGGAAATAACTTGTAGTCTACAGATGGATTTGGGATATGGTGGGCCTCTTCAGACTCATTTATTTTTTGGAGGGAAGAACTTTAAACAGAGTAAATTACACTTAAGACATAGTAAATTATTCTCCTCCTTTCATATTGTCTCTTAAACTATCTATTTTTTCATATTACATCTTGAACTATTGGTTTGAATGTCATATTGCCCCCAACCATTTACTTTTGTTCAATTTTTCGTCAAATCAGGATAAAAATGGAATCCCGTAATGCTCAGAGATTTGATCCTCCCTTTTTCAGTTGTGCGAGCTTATATTTTTGTCATCATTTGTTAATGTGAAATTCAAATTAATAATTCAAAGTTTGAAGTGAGAAAATTAGTTGGCTAGGTGTTGGGTAGGGATGACAGTGGACTGGGTAAAAATGGGTATTTTTCCAAACTGGTCTCATTTGGACTGGGGATGGACCACATGTATTGGACGGTGGACGTATACGGAGATACCTGTATAAATTCGTGAGGAAATGAAGACGGAGATGGACTAACACTTACCCCCACCCCTCCCCGCTCTGTCCCGTTATTATTATTATTTTATACATATATATATATATATATAGATACACACACACGCACACATACATGTTGTTGTGAATACAAATCTATGTATTATTGAATAATTTTATCTTTTGAAAATTGTTTTGTTTGTTGATTTTTTTTCATGGTTTTGGCTTGTAAAAGTTTAGATTTTTGTGTTTTTATATTTTTTTTATGTTACATTATGTTATGTTATATTATGTTGTATTGCATGATATTGCATTGAATTTACAAGGGAGACAAACTTTTAATTATATTATGTGGATTATATTGTAGACAGGTTTTAATTATATTATGTTGTAAATGAAAATTTTTTAATTATGTTATGATATTCTATAATTGTGTTATATTATTTAGAATGTTAAATTTATTTAGAATTTTAGATTATGTTAGCTTGAGCTTGGGCGGGTAAGATGGGTGGGGGTAGGGGTGGGGATGGGGGCGGAGGTGAAGGCAGGGACGGGGCGGAGGTGGGGATTACAAATTTACCCGAGGAGGGGGAGGGGGAGGGGGATGAAAGTTATACCCTTTAGCGGGGGTGGACCGGAGATAAACAAAATTTTTTTAAGCGGGTACGAGAATAAAAACTAGACCCCCTACCCCCGTTTTGGTCCACTGTCATCCCTAATGTTGGAAAAAATTTTGAATATTTTGTCGAACATGATTTCACTCATATAACGAGGAATTATACGAGTTTTATTAATATAGGTTAAACCCATTCTAGATTGTTTTAAGAAAACATATTTTCATTCCAACGAAGAATTACCACTCATTATTATTTACCCCATAAGTGTATTTTATTTGTAGTGGCAGCTAGACAGAGGTTGGTGAGATACCCATTAACAGGATCAACTCGATTCATAGTTCGGAGAGGTTAAATTATTTTTGGGGTAAGATCAACGGGTAGATGATTCATTGATATTGAATGGATAAAATGTCCATTATGTTTGAAATAGGAGAATAACAATGTGAATTTGGTACGGATTTAAGACCCACTTGATTGTGGGAGAGTTGTGACTACACTTATCTGAACTAGACTATGTACGTATCTGAAAGGGAATCAAGTCAACCGTAATTATTGAGGTTTTAGAATTTATTTAGGGGTGCGACTGTGCCCAGTGTATATGTTGGACTGTCTATGTATCCAAAAATAGAATTAAGTTTGACGTAGTTCGTGAGGTTTTAGAATTTATTTGAAGTTGATTTAGGTTTGCGACTGTACCCAATATAGATGTTAGACTACCTACGTATCCAACAATGGAATCAAATCTGTTATAGTTCATGAAAAGAATTTTAAATTGCGATGGTGCCCAAGGTAGCTAGACTGCTTACGTATCCAAAAATGGAATCAAGTCGGACGTAATTCGAAGAATGATTTTGAATTTGAGTGGGGTTTTAAATGACTGAATAACCCATTTAATTTAGAATTTTACTAGAGTTGAAATGGATGAATGACTCATTTGATTTGATATGGGTGTAATACCCATTATGATTTGAATGAAGTTATATTTGACAACTTTGATTTGTGTGAATTTTAAGATTCATATAAATTATGAGTAAAGATAGAATTGAATTATATGTATTATGTGAGCTAGAAACTCAACTTTATTAAGAGTCCAAGGCTCTTTTAATAAAGGTCATTGCGGAGTTTTAAACTCTGAAAATGAGGAAAGAGTTAGAAACTCTTTAATTTGACTTTTTTGCACTATTTAATTTGTATGAGTTCAAAACTCCAAAAATTGTGAATGATTTAAATAATTAAATTATTGTAACATTTTCCGAAAAGGATCGAAGATTCCCGGTTGCATTGTCATGCTCTTTTAAAAGAATACAAGATTTTGGGTTATTACGCGCTGTCCGAGGAGATCTAAAAAACTCCTTTGGTTTACATCTTGGTCAATACAAGTTAAGAGCTCCCCTAATCTATAACTTGTTTGTGCACTTTGGTGGGAATTAGAAACTCATTTGACTTATGGTTTGGAAGGAACTCTAAAAAATCCTAGCCCCAAATTGGCCACACAGCAGTTTTGAATTGCCGCAATTGCTTTTGAAGTTTTTCTTTTTAACCCACTTCTTTCTTTGATGTGCATGTGAAGGAGCTAAAGACTCCAAATATATTTAAAAAGAGTTGGAAACCCTTTCTGGACCATTGCTTCTGTAAAGGAGTCAAAGACTCCGAATTGAATTTAAAATTTTCTCGAACAATGGACAGCTTGGAGCCAGAGGAGTTAAAGACTCTTTAGTGTGATTTTCATTTGCTTTCAATAGATTTCAAACACTTACGGAGGAAAAGGCTCCAAAATTTTTTAGGAGTTAGAAACCTCAATTTTTTTAAGAGTTAGAAACTTCATTAATTTATGACTTCAAAAAAATTTGTAACAAGTGAAGTAGGGTGACATCCTTTACAGATTTTCTTGTGCAAGCAGTGTTTTGTGCAGTGGCACCATGATTTTGGAAGGGTGCAAGTCTCTTAGCGGCTAAATTTTTGAAGAGTCTAAAACTCTTAGCATTGGGCAAGAAGAATTTTAGGACTCCATTGGTGTTGTGGGAATTAAAAATTTAACTAGTCCGTTTTGCAACAAACTCTTTCTAGAGTTAGAGACTCCACATAAGAATGTATTCACTTTGGTTATTTTAAGGGGAGCCAAAGACTTCGTGGCTTAACAAAAAATTCAAAGACTTTTGATAGTACTAAGATGAGTTTAAAACTTGTGAGATATTTTTTCTTTGTGCTACGAACTTAAAGAGTTAAAAACTCTCACGATTTATGACTTCAAAAGTTGTTCGAGATTGCCAGAATACATTGATTTTTAAAGAGTCTAAGGCTTTTAACAGTATCTCAAAAGGACAGTAGGCGTCAACGGCCTTTAACTAAAAGCTCCAAAATTAAGAGTCCACAAGTTTATCCCTGCACCTTTCTTGAATTTCTTGTTACTGATTTTATACAACAAATAAGGTTAGTAACAAATTAAAGTAGGATGGGAGGGAGTTTGAAACTCTCATTAGATTTGAAGCCTCGATTTGTCTCCATATAGCTACAAAACTCATGTAACGCAAACTGAATTTGGGTAGTAACTAAGGCGATTTTCTATTGGATTTTTTGTGAATTTAGTGGTGTTCGCTGAGGAACTAAGAAAATATGACCGGTATGAGAAAAGCTTGAAGCTCTTGCTAATTTCTCAAAAGCATATGAGGCTCTTGGGGTAGTTGTGTCGCAATGCACCGAAGGAGTTAAAAACTCCTATAATCCGCAACTTGGAAGGATCTGTATCGCCGAAATTGCTTCGGATTGTTATGGTTATTCACTGAGTTACTGCCATCAAAGATTGAAAAGACTAAATCGACAAGGAAGAAAGTAAATAGATTTTGTTTACCTGTACACAAGCTTTAGAAATTTTTTGGCTACCTTCTTTCTTTTCCAAATCTCTCTCTACCAAAATTTCTTCTTCCTTTGTTAATCGTCTAAACTTTGTCCTCCTTTTTTCTCTTTCTTGCCACCCATTGCCTTCCTCTTTAAATAGAGGAGTTGCATGCATAGACATAGTGGGCTAGGTGCTAAATTACATGGGTTTAGTGGCGTCCACATGTTCTGCCAGCTTCTTTAACTTCCCCTACTTCATTCTAGCTAGTGGGTCCTTTACTAACCCCCATTATTTGCTAGGTGGGTTATCTATTGGAATTTGCAGGTGTATATAATTCATATACAGAACATCAAGTGAATAACGGTTGAGAATTTTGTGGCCATTGTTTCGAGTACAACTCCTATTCCTGATCTTTTCTTTTTTTAAAAACTTGGACCAACATCCAATTCTCAAAACTCACAAGAAACATATTTTTATTTAGAATGAGTCAAATTAATATTTGGATTTTGAAAATTGAGCTTAACGGGTCGAGATGTGGATGAATAATTTGAGCAAACCACACGTTGAGCATGCACTCGTCATTAACCTTCTCAAAATAAAAATTTGCATCGAAAGTTAACAAGTGCTGAATTTTTTTGTCGTTTAACAGTACACTAAGTTGAATGAGGGATATAGATCAAAAGGTTTAATTTTAATTTGTTCTTAAAAAAATTGGCATTCTCTACGTCAAGTGAGTAATTCACCCATAAAAGACAACCGTATCTAATGTAATACAATCACTTCTGTCATGATAATTTCATTAATGGTACAACTAAGACGGGTGAACTAGTTCAATTTTTTATGTCGGTTCACTTAGTAGACTATTTTCTTTTTAATGTTTTTAATGACATTTGATAGGATTATAATATATTAATGTAATAGTTATTTTCTGTGCCTTCTAGCACGAGATAATAAAAAAAATATTAATTATAATATATTTGTATTCACACTCAAAATCAAATCAAAAATATAAATTAAAAAAAAAATTAAATACCGATTCTAATAAGAATGAGTAGTGATAGTAGTTGTGGGTGACAGTTGTGATGGTGAGAGATAATAATGGTTATGATAGTGGTAGTTATGGTGGAAGTGGTTGACAGCGGTGGTGATCAATGATGAGTGGGGGGGGGGGGTGAATGACGGTGGGTGGCGGGCAACGATGAGTGATGGTGATTGTGGTAAAGGTGGTTGTCGAAATTCGACACCGGCTCTACCTTCATCGGAGGCAGAGTCGGAGTAAAATGTCTGGCTCCGATCAGAGTTGAAGTCAGAGTCGGAGTAGGAATGGGTGTGTAAAATCTGTTCCGAGAAAAGTCCAACTCTGATTCTGACTCCAACTTTTATTAATAATTATGTACATAGATATATTATCAAAATATAACTTAAATCTCCACCCAAACCCATTCTTATCTCTCGCCGTCTCATTGTCTGTCTCTCTCCTCGTCTCACTCATCGCTGGAGGAGGATTCAACGTTGAACAGCCAACCCCCTCTACCTTCGCCGACAGTGGGTCTTCCTCGTAAGCCATTCTCTATCTCTCACTTTATCGTTCTGTAAAGTCATCAACAACCCAAAGCATAGAGAAAGAGTCCAGAAATCCAAATTGACGACAACAACTCTTCCGATTGAAGCACAGATCTGAGAACCCACTTGCGATTGTCTAACCCACTACAGCACAGCCCTCTGGATGGCCTCTTCAGTTTGTTTCAAACCTGTACATGTGTTTTGGACTTCTAATTCTCACCATAGCATTACAATTACTGACATTTTCATTGCGTCTCATCTTATTTTTATAGCGCAAACTTCACTATACCCCTTGTGGTGTACCCCAAATTCACTGTACATCCCTAACGTTTAAAAACCTCTGCATAACCCTCATGCGATTTCTGGATTAAAATGAAATATTACAATTTTCATCCAAATGTGAGAGGTGTTCTTTGTCATTTTTTTTTGCGGACAAAAATAATATTATTAAATTTTGAAATTTGCCCAAACACCATTCTCTTTCTTCAGTCCGATCGTCTCTCTGATCCTCTCTCCGGTGTTCCAACTCCGATCGTCTCTAACTTTCTCTCTCTCTCACTCACTCATACACACAAAAGACACAAACACAGAACACACGCACCCACCCAATGGGTGTAACTTTCTATCTGGAACCATCGTACTTAAATTTTACGAGCTCTATGGTTTTTGGACTGCGTTCCTAGTGGCTCTTTAAGCATTGTTTGAAGTTTGGATCGATAATGTTATAAGTTATAACACTCCTTCAAGGTGATTGAAAAGATTCCTATTCTATTTAATCACACTTTTCAGAAAATAAGTCTGAGTCACTGGTTTCATTCGGGTTCACGTATAAGAACTCAGTAATGCAGTTTTGCAATCCTGCTATTCTGGCAGTAAACACTCGCACCCAAAGAACTCTCTCTCTCTCTCCCTCTCTCTCTCAAACACACACACACACACACACACAACACGGACCCACAGATTTTGATTTTGATTTTAGTTTCGGTTTCAATTCATTTTTTGGTTCGTTGGTGTGTGTTCGACAAAGGGATGGAGTAAAGAAGGGTATTAAAGTCTTTATGTTCAATTCTGTTAATTTGGACGGATTTTTTAACTATGCACTTTAGTCCACTAGAGGGTTCTGTGGAGGTTTTTAAACTTTAAGGGACGTAAAATGAATTTGGGTATAGCAAAAAGAGATAAAGTGGAGTTTGCACTTTTTTTTTTATTAAACTAAAGCCCCTAAAATGTGATGTTAGAAATCGAAGCCTCCCGAATAGGAAGGCCAGCCCACAGGCATACTATGATGTTGCAATGTTTGTACCAAACCCCCTAAAGCAAAATAAGCACAATGGGAGTGCTGCATATGCAGAACAAGGTGCTCTGCTAAAACATGGAAAACCCGTAGATGAGTACGCTCTGTATGGATTGTACTCCTGAAACAAAGGCTTAAGTGTAACTCTAATCAGTTCAGGTTTTATGAGAAAGAAATACTGAATTTTATGGATGGGTGCTGAAAGGAGGCAAACTGAAATGCTAAGGGCTATCTATTTAACAAATCACCAATAGTATTCACTAAAAATAATGTCCAACAAACTATAATCTATACAATACTGAAGTTTCAAAGTAATGTGTCACCTGCTTCTGTGTTTCTGGGTGAGTGGCGGAACTCTTATGAGATTGAATTTTGTAAGTTTCAACGCAACCATTTAGGCAGTAATCCATTGGGTTGGACTTGGATTCATGATAATCTGATACATCTCTATAATCTGACACTAGCAAAAGTCATTTCACTGGCTTTAACTATAGCTGTATCCTATTGTTCGGCTAACATGATCTCGATAAACACTTTATAATTTGCCACAAAGGAGAAATATTATCATGTTAAAGAATGTAATATTCAGCCAAGAGTTTCTAAATCTTTATTTCCAAGTATGCCATCCCCAGCTGCAGAAGGACAATGCAAATGGAACAAACTTACCCAAGTCCTTCTTTGGACCAAGCTGCTTCATAGACTCCACCTGCAGTTTGAAAAGCCATTTCTACCATGCCTTCAAGAACCATAGCTACAGCAACCCCATATATAACACCAGCCCATATCTCTTTGTCTGAATGCACGAGATGTCAGGTTCTCCACTGGGCAGCATCCCATTCAAAGCCCCAAGTCTCCCATCCTTCACCTTCATGACATTGAAACTAAAAACCTCCTCGAGTGCTACTTTTGCTTTCTCTTCATCAACAATGGGTAAAAGACTACATGCTCGGGCATACCTATAAAGTATCCAGGTAATTAGCATAGATTTACAAGAAAATAAATCTCTTCTAACCCCTGATTTAAATATAAATACAAACTGAAATGTCCACAATGCATACTCATACAGCCCAGTTTATACTCTTTCTCTGTACATATGTATCACACACATAAATGATAAAAGAAAGACGTGAAATCGTAGGCCGACTCCTCTCACGTATGCTTGTCAGTATTGTGTACATGCGAAAGTACCCCTAGCACGTATACTCCATACAACCAACTCTCTCTGCTTATGTTATGTAAGGGGGAACATACATACATTTTGTATGTGTTAGCGGTAGATCCAAGGATACTATAAGCAGCCAATGATGAAAAGAAGACATTAATAATTAGCATTTTGAAGGTGCTTTGCCTTTTTCTGTGGTAAATTACTTTTTTCCATGCTTTTGAAAGCAAAAGAATATAATAAGGCAAACTTTGTTTCTAAGATCATGATAAGTACTTCAAATATGCTAACTAAATGTTCAAAACATGTAACAGAAGCTCCTTTAATTTTCATGTCATTGTCTTACAGAATGATCTGGATCCAGATGATATTAAGAAATACAGAACAAGCTACTGCTACTGCGACATACCATTTTCCAGCCAACTGATCAGCTTGAATAGATGTACTTGTGCTACTACCACTGTTGTCGTAGTTAAAATAAGAACCATTCCACAACCTATCATATACCTTCTTTGCCATCTGAAATTTAAACCAAAAATAATCTACAGAACCATTGTCACCAACTTCACGAGCCATAGCAGAAGCAGCCTGCAAGGCTGCCCCCCACAATAGGCACTAACACCAGAGGCAGACCATGTATCATATGTCTGATCGGGGAACACTTCATTTTCTATCATCCCATCCCCATCCACATCAAATTGTTCCATATAAGCCATTGCAGTATAAACTGAGGGCCAAACAGCTCGCGCAAACTGTCTGTCACCTGTGGCAACCACATCCCTGTAAACTTGCAGAACAGCTTTTGGATTCAAATCTTTCCACCTATCTGTGTTGTAAAGTTTATAATAGTTTAATTCAAACCATGGATCATTCATTCCAATATCATGAGGAACAGCACCAAGAACTTTTCTTGAGACTAGACTTCCATCATGCAGAAGTCTCATCTTACTAGGATCATGCATCATCACTGCTGCAGCATAGTCCCTTTGGATGCTAAATTCCAGTTTTGGGAATAGCATGATTAAGGAAAAAGATGCATAGAAATGAACATCATAGGTGTTACCCATGTGATATTCAATCCCTTTCAGACAAAGGAATTGTCCAATGTTTTCCTCCCCCTTTTGCAGCAAGTTTGTTCCAAAAGCGGAAGTTACTGGTGCTGAAGTATGAATCTCCTGAAGTACCGAAGCCATCCTTCCAAGAATGTCAACAGCAGTGTCATTGTCGTTGGATGTATTGATGCTATTTTTAAGATTTGACTTGGACCAATCGAGGGAAAACTTTGTTTCACCAATGATTGATAAACTATGCAATGGAGGTGATCCATCTAGAAAAAGGAGGAAAGATGAACTCAGATTCGCTTAATCTGGCCAAAGGCGAACAACAAAGGTTTGTGTTTCCTCAAATACCTGTCCAAATTGTTCCCCCGGCATTAAGATAGTACAGCTCATTGAAAAGCGTGATTGGGTATCTGCAGAAGTATTGAAAAGTTAAAATTTGATTGTTTACAAGTAAGAAAATGAACATCCAAGCTCACCATTCAGGAAGCCTCTTGTCTTCAAGTATAGGTCTTTGCCATGCAGCTATCTGGGACTCCCATTGGCCATGCTCTTTAAGTATTCAAAAATAAAAATAAGGACTTGAATTTGAAACTAAAACTGTCAAGAAATATAAATTTAAGAGAGGTTTATGTAAATTCATTGAATCAAAAGGCCAAGAATCAAATATTGGATGGGAGTCTTGTATTATTATACAGAGAACATCTCACAAATATTAAAAAAAATTGTGTAGGCATAAATATTATTTTTAAATGTGAAAAGAGTTATGATCTATTGAGGAGTTTTTGAAGATTTTTTAAACAATTTATTGAAAATTATAATGATGCATATATTTTTTAAGGGTAACGTAATCAATTAAAAAATCTTATAGGTTTTTTTTTAATATTTATAGATAGAGAATAGAGAATTAAAAGAGATGTTATGGGATAATTTGGAGATTTAAATACATAAGCATATTATTGTAATTTAGATATTTAACTATAGAACGATAGTGTGGTATTTAAAGTTCTTTATTTGTGTAATTTAGATATTTAACATTAGGCGTCTAATTCTTTACTTTTTTTTCCAATCTTCTTTTTTCATACATTCATATATGAAATTCCTACGTTATTTTTGGTGTCTATCTAGAATGCCTGGGTGGATTACACTTGTGATTTTGCATTGAGAATCAATTGCAGGCGATTTTTTTATTTTTTTTAAAAAAACATTGCTTTATTAATCGAAATTTTGATTCAAAGAGAATAGAAAGCGATTTGAAGCACTAGACGATTGCGCACTTAGGTGTGGATGAGTCAGTGGTGAAGAGGAATCTGGGCATTTCAAGTATCTCATCGTTATTATGATTCTTTGTTACACAAGTATGATTGATTATGAGTACTATTTTAGTTTTAATTATTTTCCTTGTGCGGATAAAACATCTAATCTTATCAAACACCATATAGAATTCACTAGAAGGTTGCCCCTTAATGGGCACGACATAACTTGCAATGACCACCATTCAGGGCGGCTCAATACAATTGAAGGCATAAAGCAACCAATATTAAATAGGTCTTTTAGTTTTAAAAAAATAATTTAAATCTTTTTTTTTTGCCTTTTGAAATGAATTTTTTTTTATTAAGTTTGGCTAACATATTTTTTTGATTGACTGAATAATTAATTCGCTTAGCTTTTCTTATATATAGTCGATCTTATAGAGAATTTTATTATTTTTAATCGTGAAAATCTTTGATATGTAAAAAAAATGTTACAACATGTCAATAATAATCAGTAAAAAAAAATACATTCAAAAAAGAATATATTATTTTTATATAATTCATATTTCAAGTAGAATGTTTTCTTTTGTTTATAAAAGTTTTGTTAAAATATTTTAGTCTAAAAACTAACCTAGTCCATTGATAGTAGAGAAACATTTGAAAATTTTTCATATTATATTTTCAAATTAAATAAAAAAAATCACAATTTTTTAACTTCAAATTACTCAGTACATTATGTTATCTCTTCATTGATATTTATATTAATTTTTTTTCTCTTCAAATTGTTAGTTATTAATGAAATATAAGTTTGGTTGGTTTAAAATGAGGTAGAGAAATTAATTTTTATTGTACATTTTGAAAGAGAGTGATATGTTTAATTTGAATGAAACTTGTAGATTTTTTTTTCAGTTAAACATATTTGTTTTAATTTCAAATATTATTGTGTGGCTAATGAGTTATGATGATGCACAAAAATGATTTTGCACACCACCTGTCAAGTATAGATAATAAATGAAATGAAATCAATGAAAAAATTAAGAAGACACAATCTATAGTGGTTCGGTCAATTCGACCTACGTCCACTCTTCAATAGCTTCAGTTGCCGGGTATTTTATTGATTCAAAGGTATGGAGAATGGAGATACAAGCTTTGAGAAAAAGAATGGAGAATCAAAGAAAATAGTAATCTCCGGTAGTCGGTTCGTCCTCTGTATGTCTCTGGTGGGACGTGATCTTCCTCTTTTTTCTTCTCCCAGATTGGAGCTATTTTATAGCAGCTAAGAGATCATTCTTGTGGAGATCATGACTTATCCTCAAGGCTTCTTTATCGCAGCTAAGAGATTACTCTGGTGGAGATCACGACTTATCCTCAACGGAAGGAGGAGGTTGGGGAGCTCTTCATGAAACGTGGTCAAAGATTGGACCGTTTCCTTCGGTGGTACAGATAAGCTTCTCGTGCTCTCCTCTTGGTGACGTGCTAAACAAGAAGTCTAACCGGTCTTGGACTTGGTGGATTTGGACCGTTTCCTTTGGTGGTGCAGATAAGCTTCCTGTGCTCTCCTCTTGATGACGTGATAAGCAAGAGGTCTAACCGGTCTTGGACTGTCTTGGGCTTAACCTATCATTTGCCCCCCGATGCCCCATGTCCAAGGAGACTTGGAGAAGGAGGCATTGATTACATTTTTTTTTTTTTTTTAAACTTCAAATCTTTCCCATTTTATTTTGAAGAGGGAGTGGTGGAGGTTGAAGAAAGGGAGGAAGTAGGCACCATTTTTGAGAACTTGGAGGCTTCTTTTGAGCATTCGAATGCTGTCTTGGACAGCTTTGGGGCTGAAAATGAAGGGCCGGACAGCGAAGGGGAGATGGGCAGCTCGAGGAGTGGCTTGGGCAGCGAAGGGAGACGGCTGGGCGCGTGACTGGGCAGCGCAGGCGCGGCTGGGCAGCGCGCGCGCTGGGCAGCGCCGAGGACCTGGGCAGCTGCCTAGGCTCTGCTCCTCCTGTCCTGGACAGCCCAGGCGCGCTGGGCAGCTGCCTGGGTGCTGGCCTTGCTGTCCTAGACAGCCCAGGTGCGCTGGGCAGCAGCCTAGCTGCTGCTTCTGCTGTCCCGGACAGCTTCAGATCTGCTGCGTTGGGCGGCTTTGGAACGCTGGGTAGCAGCATTTTTCCATCAAGGGGCGCTGAAAATCAGTCCAAGGTTCGTCAGGGAGAGCTAGGCAGTGGCCTGGGAGCACGGGCTGATCCGATTCTCACTCAAGGCGCTGATTTGGGGCCCTTAGGTGCTGATTTTTGCGCCGAAAATTCTGCTTTGCGCAATTTTGAAGGCCAGACACCCTTCAAGCTACTGTGCAACTTTGTTTTGACGAGCAACAGCAGTCAGGCACACTTCTAGGCGCTGGGCTAGACATTGCAAGTAGTAAGGAAGCTTTGGGTGCTGCTCTTGATGATCAAGCTCTTCTCCAGGTGCTGGGCGCCTTGGGTGAGCCTGGGGCTACCTCGGGAGAGCCTGCTTGTGATGACAAAAATAATGTTATTCCAAACATTAAAATATCTCACATAATTACCTGGGGAGAGAGAAGTGGGCTGCTTGCGCGAGAGCAAAGACAGAGTTGGAGAACTACTCGTGAGAGAGCTACACTTTTTGAGGCCTAGCTTTTGGCGACCCATGAGGGAGTCTTTAAGCTTGAGGTATAAGCTGCCTGTTTGAGAACAGTGCAGAGGCCAAGCTTTTTTGGCGATCCGTGAGAGAGCCGTTAAACTGGCGATAGACTGTCTGTTTGAGAACAGTGCAGAGGCCAAGTTTTTTGGCGACCCGTGAGAGAGCCGCTAAACTGGAGATAGGCTGCCTGTTTGAGAACAGTACAGAGACCAAGTTTTTTGGCGACCCGTGAGAGAGCCGCTAAACTGGAGATAGGCTGTCTGTTTGAGAACAGTGCAGAGGCCAAGTTTTTTGGCGACCCGTGAGAGAGCCGCTAAACTGGAGATAGGCTGTCTGTGTTCAGAACAGTGCAGAGGCAGGTCAAGTTTCTGGTGATCTGTGGGATGATTCACCTTGCCTAAACTTGTTGATTTCCTCAGCATTCATATATCTTTGAGCTTTTGTGAATAATTCTGGCATGCTCTTCGGTGGGTGCTTCAGAACTGAGAAAAGGAAACTTGATGAATGGAGGCCACCCAAGAAGGCGGTCATCGTCACCTTGTCGTCAGGTTCATCAACTTGGAGTACCTCCTCGTTAAAACGAGTGAGGTAACTCCTCAGGCTCTCCTCGCGGTCCTACGTTATACTAAGCAGGTGCGTAACTGGCTTCTAGTTGCGACGCCCTCCTATGAAGTGTGAGACGAATGATCTGCTAAGCTCGGCAAAAGAGGTAATAGAGGCGGGGGAGAGCTTAGAAAACCACTGTCGGGCAGACCCCTGTAATGTGGTTGGGAATGCCCTGCACATGATTTCGTCTGGTACGTTGTGCAATTGCATCAAGGTCTTGTAAGTGTCGAGGTGGTCCAGTGGATCCTTTGTTCCATCAAAGGTCTCCACAGATGGCATTTTGAACTTCTGAGGGAGGGGGTAGTTTGCTACATCAGATTTGAAAGGGGTATCAGTACGCCTTACCAGGTGGTCAACAGTCTCGGGTCCCTGTGCGTTCATGGCGTTGAAGACATCACCGAGTTGATTTTGTACCTCCTTTATCTTCTCGTCCCAATGATTGGGGGCTCCTCTGGAATGATCATGGAAGTGGCTTCCATGCCCCATGCTTTGGTTTTCACCCTCATCCTCCTGGAGATAAGGGTCCTCTCCCTGGAAAGCAAGGGGAGGGGGAGGTGCAACTCCCTCATGTTGGGCTTTCCGAAGTGGGGTGCCCAATAGGGCACCCGGGCGTGGAGCAACAGGGCGTGGTGCTCCTTGATGTCCAGGATGTGGAGCTCCTTGGGGTGCTCTATGTTGTGCACCTCCGTGGGGCCCTCCATGTTGTGCACCTCCGTGTGGTGCTCCACCTTGGGGTCCTCCATGTTGTGCACCTCCGTGTGGTGCTCCTCCTTGTCCAGTAAGTATGAGTTGCAGTAACTGTTGGTTTTGAGCAACCAGTTGCTGCATGGTCTCCAATATTTGTTGGGGATTCGGGGCTAGAGTATCCGAAACAGGGTTGATAGGCGGGGGAGCAACCTCCTCCTCTCGTGGAGGATTGTCTTCGTGTTGGTTCATGGATCGAGTAGTGATCGCCATTAGTTAATGGATGTAATGTTCAGGAGTGAGAATTTTGTCGTTTCCCACAGACGGCGCCAAACTGATGATGCACAAAAATAGTTTTGCACACCACCTGTCAAGTGTAGGTAATAAATGCAATGAAATCAATGAAAAAATTAAGAAGACACAATCTATAGTGGTTCGGTCAATTCGACCTACGTCCACTCTTCAATGGCTTCAGTTGCCGGGTATTTTATTGATTCAAAGGTATGGAGAATGGAGATACAAGCTTTGAGAAAAAGAATGGAGAATCAAAGAAAATAGTAATCCCCGGTAATCGGTTCGTCCTCTGTATGTCTCTGGTGGGACGTGATCTTCCTCTTTTTTCTTCTCCCAGATTGGAGCTATTTTATAGCAGCTAAGAGATCATTCTTGTGGAGATCACGACTTATCTTCAAGGCTTCTTTATCGCAGCTAAGAGATTACTCTGGTAGAGATCACGACTTATCCTCAACGGAAGGAGGAGGTTGGGGAGCTCTTCATGAAACGTGGTCAAAGATTGGACCGTTTCCTTCGGTGGTACAGATAAGCTTCTCGTGCTCTCCTCTTGGTGACGTGCTAAGCAAGAAGTCTAACCGGTCTTGGACTTGGTGGATTTGGACCGTTTCCTTTGGTGGTGTAGATAAGCTTCCCGTGCTCTCCTCTTGATGACGTGTTAAGCAAGAGGTCTAACCGGTCTTGCACTGTCTTGGGCTTAACCCATCAAGTTAGACTCTTTTTTTTTTTAATGAGTTAGATTCTTAGATCCAACTCTGTTTAGCATTTCTTAGTTGGTTAGGACTTTTTAGTAGTTAAAACTTGATGGGTTCTTTCGAAGAAATCACTAGTTTTCACTGACACCCTAGACGAGAAAGAAAAAAAAAGACACATGCATTGTATCACTAGAACCACGACCTACAATATCCTCTCTTTTGGCAAAGAGCGAGAAGGTTAGCAGTGTTGCTATGAACTCAGGTTTGATAGTCAGGCTCTCTGATCTAGTTATAATTCTACTTCAATTGATTAAACATTTCCTTATGAATCACCATTACACAACCATTACTGGAGGTGGTAGCACCACCCTACCACCACCTTTACTTTATATTCTGTACGCTCCTTCAAAGAATAGCTACCGTCAACACATTCCAGCATCATTGTTGCTCAGGAACAAACATTATGTGTGTGCCTAATTGGTCAAGATTGCACTGAAAACTCCAAACATGGATAGCCATCTCATGAACTGTATGTGAGTCATCTAACCAAAGAATTTTATTGTCAATGAATTTCTTTGTGCTAGTTGGAAAAATCTCAAGGTGCATGGGTTGGTTTAGTGGTCAAACAAGAGGTGATTTGAAAATCCGTACGTGTTGAGTTCAACTCCCCGGCCTCATAAAAATATTGGTTAACTAATACGTGTAATTTATAGATAATCAGGAAAATCTAAAAATTACATTATTACCATACTTCCAAAGAATGTGTAGTTGACATGATTCCCATTGCAAAAAAATCCCTCAATTACTTGAAACAAAAGAATCTAATGGTAAAAGAAAAGTGACATTGATAGCAAGATTTCTGAGCCTTTTCTCCTCCAAAAGTCCTAGATCGAGCTTCTTATTCGATTGTGGTCCATCCAAATATTCTAGTAAGCAAATGCCTTCGAAAGCAAGGCACTTGACTTGTGTACAGGTGGACAACTTGGCTTTTGACCTTGACTTACAAGACTTTCTGTGTGCCATTTGTCACACTCCACCTGGATCACGCAGGGTGAGGGACGGATTAGTCATCAAAGTCTTAATCAATCAATCATATATAATAAATATAAAATATAGTGAAAAACAAATAGCAAAGTGATCTAATCCACTGATTTAATGAATATCAGAAGAATAAACTAAATATCACCAACATAGTGTATCGGTATCGTCTCGAAATGAGTCAAGTTAAATACAACTTGACCGACTTATATCAGTATCGACCGATATTTTGAACCATGATTTTAAGTGTGGATAATTCCAGTCTCACTATTTTTGTTTTTGTGTTTTTTTTTTTCCACAAGGGATTGGACCATTCCCACTGTTTGGAATTGCTTGAACTTCCATTTTCCGTGATTTTTGCTTTTGTTCTCAAACAGTCGTCACCTTATCATTGAAGGTTGTATATAATGAGTTTCTTTCCATGCGTCTAACAAACTCAACCCAACTAGCCTTGGAAGAACATAACCTGGAAAAATACCCACAGAACTTGTCATATTGAAGCAAGGATGGCTACTTGGGGTGCCCTCTTTCAGTTTTTTATCATTCTGTCTTTCCCACTGTTTTCTAAATCTATGTACCTTGAAGAATCCAATGAACTGAAAACTGATGCTGGTGATCTTAACCTGAGGTGTATTGACATTGAACGGTATGCGCTCCTTCAGTTCAGAGAAGGCCTGATCGATCCTTTGGGTCATCTTGCTTCTTGGGTTGGCAAAGATTGTTGTAGATGGAAGGGTGTTCACTGCAGCAACCAAACTGACCATGTTGTAAAGCTTGACCTCAGAGATAAAGGTGATTGTTTCATGAAAAGAATTCAATCTGCAGCGGCTTATTACAACAACTCATCATGTTTGGGTGGTAAGATAAGTCCTTCTTTGCTTGACTTGAAATATCTGAAAGTACTAGGACCTAAGCATGAATGATTTCCAAGGAATTCCAATCCCAGATTTCTTCGGTTCATTTGAGAGAATGCGTTATCTCAATCTCTCATATGCACATTTTTCTGGGATTGTTCCTCCTCACCTTGGAAATCTCTCAAATTTGCATTATCTTGATCTCTTCGCATATCCAAATCCCTATGAAGTCATTGGAAGTAGCTGGGTCTCAGACTTAAATTGGGTCTCTGGACTCACTTCTTTGAAATACCTGCACCTAGGAGGCCACGACCTTAGTTTGGAAACTAATTGGCTGCAGACTCTAAGTACGTTTCCTTCCCTTTCTGAATTGCACTTGTTCGACTGTGCACTGCAAAACATCCCTCCCTCTCCACCAAATTTGAATTTCACTTCCCTTTCGGTCCTTGATCTATCTTATAACCATTTTAACTCTCTCCCTCAATGGTTGTTCAATATCAGTTCCCTTGCCGAACTTGAACTTTCTTCTTGTTATATGAAACCCTCCATTTCAAAAGCTGCTTGGGAAGATTTGTGTCATTTGCAGGTCTTAGATCTTTCCAACAATGAAATCAGTGGCGACATAAGTGATTTAATAGGGGATCTGTCTCGATGCAGTAATCATAGCATAGAGAAGTTAAGTTCGTGGCATAATCAATTGAGGGGACAGCTGCCTGAGTCATTTGGGTTCCTTAAAAATCTAAGGGACCTTCGTCTGGATGAAAACTTGATCACAGGTCCAATCCCGGAATCTATTGGAAAGTTGTCTAAGCTGAACAATTTAGGCCTCGTCGGGAACCAGTTGAATGGAACAATCCCGGAAAGTGTTGGAAAACTCACACAGCTAGCTAAATTGCGCCTCTATAAAAATTATTGGGGAGGTGTCCTATCCCAAAAGCATTTGGAAGGCCTCAAGAAACTGGAATATTTTTCCATATCATCTTCAAATAAAGCGTTTTCTATCAATTTGAGTGATGAATGGGTTTCTCCTTTTAGTCTAAGATTCATTGAAATCGACAGCTACCCCTTGGGTCCAAAATTTCCAACATGGCTTAAAACTCAGAAACAACTTCATGCTATTGCCCTCACAATGTTTCTATTTCAGGCACCATACCCCATTGGCTCAGGAAATTATGTCCACAGATTCAACGGTTAGATCTTTCTTATAACCAATTAAGTGGAATGCTTCCCGATTCATTAGCATTTTCGGGGGATACAACAGTGATAGTCGACTTCAGTTTCAACCGCTTAAGCGGTCAGGTTCCCCTTTGGCCTAATGTGGCACGTCTGAATTTGGCGAATAATTTGTTTTCAGGATCGATACCCACAAACATTGGCCAAGTGATGTGGCGACTAGAAATTTTAGATCTTTCTGGAAACTCTTTGAATGACAGCATTCCATTGTCTATCAGCGATATGAAGTACTTACGAAGGCTAGACCTATCAAACAATCTTTTGTATGGAGAAATCCATGAAAAATGAAGGAATTTGCAAGAAATTCGAGTCATAGATCTATCGAGGAACAATCTATCTGGTAATATTCCCAATTCAATATGTTCAATGCCTAATCTTTTTTGGTTAAAATTAAGCAACAACAGTCTTTCTGGAGAACTCTCATCACTAAAAAACTGCACAAGCATGAAAACTCTTGATCTTGGAGGCAATAAGTTTTCAGGGAACATACCACCATGGATTAGAGAGAGCTTGTTGTCACTAGTTGTGCTAAGTATCCGAGCCAACATGTTTTATGGAAATATTCCTCAAAAACTTTGTCATCTTTATAATCTTCACATCTTGGACTGTAACGCCCCAAAAACCCCCGTGGGTGACATTACATTTTAAAAATCATTTACCGTATGAGAGCATTAAGTAAAATTCATCACGACGAAAGTTTCATTCATCAACCATTCATATTTTAACAAAATTTGGGCAGAATCTCCTTTGTACGGGGAGCTCTACCCAAAACACAACCTGTACAATTATATTACAATTGACCACACCGGGTCCACATATGCATAACTATTGACCACACCGGGTCCATTTTTCCATCATAAAATAAACTTGCATTCATCATATGTCATACCACACTATCATCCCAAATTAATAGGTCTAATCTTGGCCTTTACATCTCCAAAATGTAATAATATAACGCAGCGGAAATAACATAAATGAACTAGAGTTCAAAAGGATATTTTAAGCATAATCTAGTCTAGAACAAAATAAAAGTGTCGCTCTAAGCGTCCACCTCGGGATCCACATCCCCGTCAAGCGGAGTCTTCCAATGGGTGGACTCCTCGGCTCCTAACTCCTTCTCAAGTGTGAAATCTGAAAAAATTTTATTTGTAGGGGGTGAGCACGAAGCTCTGTAGCAAAATCCTCTCAACTCAAACAAGGTTTGAAAAACATAGCAAACGGTCGGTCTCATTTCACAACTAACATATATATAGGTTTGGAATAAAAATAGTGACATTTTAAAAGAGATCTCAAGTTTAAACAATAGCAATAATCAGTTAAAAGAATAAAGTGAGTTTAGCATCGATAAACAAAATTCTAATTTAAGCTATTTAAGAAGGGCTTCTCCCTAAGCATTATCCCATACCAATGCATCGGCAAGAACGACCCAACTCCCGATTCCATGTATTTTTGGTTCATCCCCGTACCATGTATGTTGATTGCTTCTCGTGAATCTACCTAACAATCATGCCTAGTCCACCAATTCCAACCAACAATCACAAATCTCTTTAGTAAGGGCGTGTACCGTCTCCTACGGCATTGACGAAATCCTCCCAAAGTGTCTAGTATACTAACCCTTTTCCTCGGTGTATATGTGAACAATAGTGATCGCAAGCACAACAACGATCCACTACGAGCATTAGGCAACCATCTCACCCCCCATTGGGATAGACTAACCTCTAACACTCTACGGCATCTCTCGAAGGTAATCCAAGTCCATCACAACAACCATACAATGAGGAAATCAAGAATATTCACAATTCACAACAATTTCCCAAACATAGTAAAATCCCCAATTTTGTTTTCACATTTGTCATATAATCGAATAATCCAAGAAAATATGCAAGAGATCGTAATCTATATCATTTTGTTATACAATATTCAACACTAAAGTTTTAAAATCAAAGACAAAGAAGAAATTAGGAGAAAATCCCCTTTTCTTGAAAACTAGGGCTTTGAAGATAAAAAAAAAATCAATAGAGCTTTGGTGGTTACCCACCCTTCATATTGTTCAAAACATGGCATTTATTACAAATAGAACAAGAATCATGTATTTCATATTATATATATGAGAAGGAGAGTGAAGAAACATATATCTATATACATATATATATCTATATGTATATATCTAGCCTCAATGTGAGAGATTGAGAAAAAATCTCCTACCTTAAATCAAGATTCCAAGCTAAGACCCAAGCTTCAAGACCTTCTTGCTCTCCTTTCTTTTCCTCTTAATCTTCTCCTCCTAGGGTTTCAAAAGATTTGGGTGAGAGGATAGCAAGAATGGAAGAAAATGGGAGGAGAATGTATTCTTGAAGAATTTGAAGTTTTGATTTCTACAAGGTATAAATCCCTCTTGATTGGTATTTCTATCTTCCTCTCTTCCTCTAAAATGGTTCCTAGGGTTTGGAGGGGTGAAATGAATGCTAAAGGGACGACATTAGGTTTTTATAGGGCAAGAAAATCGAGCAAAACCCGATATTTTCTGTTCAGGAAAATCGGGTTTCCTTCGTACTGTTCACAGATTTTTGGTGCGACTTCCAGGTCAGTTTTGACCCATTTAGAGGTCGAATTGGAAATTTTTCATGAAATACACTTTTGTAGCCCTAGATTTCTACTATTTCCTGTCAAACTTTCAGATCAATTGGACATCAAAATATAAAGTTATGATCAAAATACTAAGCAGTGTCCATCACCCCTTTTTACCCAATTTCACTCCAATTTGGTTTTACTTCTAAAATACTTCCTAACTTCTAATACATCCCATATTACCTCTCCCAATGTTTTCCGATCTCCTGAATTCAATGGTAATGTTATTTTGATAAAAAAAATTAATATATTTATTTAATTACCCTTATCAATCTTAAACACATCCAAAAAAAAAAAATTTAAGTTTGACCCAAAAGTCAATCCGTTCGAAACTCAAACTTCATGATTAATATTTCAACAATGATTCTAAGTTTTTATCCTCATTTTATTCATATTTGAAAAACTCTTAAGATATTAGTATTCTTATTTAATTTTTAGTACAGGGTCTTACATGGACCTAGCAGATAACAATTTATCCGGATCCATCCCATCATGCCTGGGCAATTTGAGTGGTTTGAGTTCTTCAACCCCTTACAGTCCATATTCACACTATTCTTACTGGAACTACGCATTTATACCCCAGATGGTGCTGGTTGTAAAGGGATTGCCAACGACGTATACTCTCACACTTTATCTTCTTAGGATTATTGATCTTTCAAACAACAATCCAAGGAGATATCCCTGAAGAGATAACACATCTCTCAACTTTGGGTCACTTAAATTTATCTTGGAACCAATTGACAGGAAAAATACCAGATAGCATTGGAAGCTTAAAACAGTTGGAAGCTATTGACCTCTCACACAACAATCTTTCAGGTCCAATTCCTCTGAGTCAGGCTTCTATAACCTCATTGAACAAATTGAATGTGTCATATAACAACTTGTCTGGAAAAATTCCATCAACCAACCAGTTCCAAACATTTAATGATCCATCCATTTATGAGGGTAACCCTGGACTTTGGGGGAGTCCATTGCAAACCCCGTGCCTGACTGTCAAAAATGGGAAAGTTGAAGGTTGTGATGCCAAAGATGACAACAACGATGAGGATGATACATTACCATTTTACATTAGCATGGTATTGGGATTCGGGATGGGATTTTGGGTAGTATTTGGCAGTTTGGTAATGAAAAGGTCCTGGAGACATGCCTACTTCAGATTCCTGGATAGAGTAGCGGATTGCTTATACATCTTCATTAAGCTGAACATGGCCCGTTTACAAAGAATGATGAGCAAGGAGTGAAAAAGAAACTTCAAGCCAGTATAAAGGTATCTAGTGCTTTTATATTTCTCCTATTTGTGTTCCTCTTATTTCCAATGACCTTCTGTTTTGTAGTTGATGTAGGAGTTCCAATGGAAAAAGGTTGAAGTCATGGAAACTAATGGAAGGTGACTTCATGGCTTTTGGGTAACATCAAGTCTCTCCCCCCTTTCTTTCTCTCTCTCTCTCTCTCTCTCTAATATGTGTGTGTGTGCGTGTGTATGTATGTATATTTCAATTTTGTTGTTGTTGCTAAGTTGTGCTTTGTGTTTACTGCAGAGAATGGGTCCATTAGAAGGATGAAGCTTGGAAAAAATTGCGAGTTTACAAAAGAAATATTTAATTATTTATTGTTATCGTGAAATACAAAACTTTGTTTTATGTACTAAGTTTTTGTTGTATGTATGATATGGTGTGATATACATTAGGGAGTGCAACTTTTGGTCATGCATTGGGTTGTTTGCCCTCTGGCTTTGGCCCAAATTATGATTACTTATTTTGTTTAAAGGGCACTAAATGTCAAAGCTTCTATGCTCGGCTAGGCCAATCGCAATGTAGTTACGTTATTCAAACATTTCAAAAAATCAGGGCTAGCAGATGAAATTGGTAAATCTATTACTATTAGCAAAGGGAGAGAGTGAAGCCAGTGTCCACTCTACGCAAACATTTTTTGAATTAAGGGAGAGTAGGGGATGGCAATTTTCTAGGTTCTTCATGTAAAATTTCTATAATATCTTGTTTTCTTTTACCTGAACCACTATTAACTTGCTCTCCAACTGCAGTCATTTCCACGTAGTTATTGTAGGTTTATTTTGTCTTGTTCAAGCTTCCCTATCTATCTCTCCCTCTTCTATCTAAATCATTTTGCTATCATGCTCATGGATGATGTATGTAGAACAATCTTGTTGACTTAACATAAAGAAAAAAAGATTAGTGAGAATATTCATGTTTCTTACTTTCATCGCATTGCCTTATTGCAACACACGCGTTTCCCCTTCCCCCTTGGCCGAGCACCACCTCCAACATCACCCACCAACGTTGCCCCCAAATCACTAGGCCTAACATTCTAGACCTAGAAAAAAAACTCCCCTTCATCAGCAATTCAAAAACCTATCTCGAATCAACCTACTATGAAACTTCAATATACATACAGACAGTTACTCCCCTTTCATATGAACACATTGTTTTCCTCTCTAATGATTAATTTGTAAAGGAATTCTTATATCTCATTGATTACCAAGAAAGAAAATTTTGTTACAATATGAACTACAATAGGGTCAACCATATATCATAAGAAATCACCTCTATTATAAATTACCTGCCCTGGGCAAGACTTGTCCCGAAATAAAGGAAGATAGAATGCTTCTAAGCATGTTAGGTGCAACAACAAAACAATAGCTCGATCTCTGGTCTGTTTGCCTCTAGTTCTCTTTCTAGATTCAGCAACATGACTAGATTTCTAGACAAGTTGTATACCAAACTTCCAGAACATAAAGTATAATTTTAACAGGCTAATGGATTCACAATAATACAAACTCCTGGACTTCCACGTAAAGGTACTCAAATTCTCTTTTTGCTGTAACATATGGTTGATTTGACTTCCCATTTGATGCATCCATGTAAAAATGCTTCTTGATTTTATTGCTAAATCAATTCTCGATCTCTCGTGCTTCCTGTGTAGTTTATTTTTTAGCCTGCAACATTCCACCAAAACTATTTTTTCCCTATGGTGGTTTGAATGTTCTCCCCAATCCCAGCAACATATTTAGGAATTTCAATATGTTAGTTCAGCAGAATGATCGCACCTTCTGATGATTTTAAGTGTTGAATGCAGTTCAGATTGTGAGACCTAGTGACAATAGAATAGGGACTTTTTCGTTTGGGATTTGGAAATAACTTGTAGTCTACAGATAGGGTTGGGATATGGTGTTGTTCAATTTTTCGTCAAATCAGGATAAAAATGGAATCTCGTAATGCTCAGATGTGTGACCCTCCCTTTTTCAGTTGTGCGAGCTTATATTTTTGTCCTCATTTGTCATTATTTAGACAATGTGAAATTCAAATTAATAATTCAAAATTTGAAGTGAGAAAATTAGTTGGCTGAGTGTTGGGAAAAAATTTGGATATTTTGTCGAACACGACTTCACTCATATAACGAGGAATTATACGAATTTTATTAATGTAGGTTTGACTCATTCTAGATAGTATATATCCATTATTTGTAATCTGTTGTTTCAAGAGAACACCTTTTGATTCTAACGATAAATTACCACACGTTTTTATTTACCTCATAAGAGTATTTTATTTGTAGTGGCGGCTACTAATGTTGCCGACTTACCCATAAACAGGATCAAGTCAATCCATTGTTTGAAGATGTTAAATTATTTTTGGGGTAAGATCGACGGATAGATGACTCATTGATATTGAATGGATAAAAAGTCTATTATGTTTGAAATTGGGGAATGAAAATTTGAATGTGGTGCGGATTTAAGACCCACTTGATTGTGGGGGAGTTGTGACTACATCTACTTGAACTATACTGCGTACATATCTGAAAGTGAATTAAGTCAATTGTAATTATTGAGGTTTTTGAATTTATTTAGGGGTGCGACTGTGCCTAGTGTATGTTGGATTGCCTACGTATCCAAAAATAGAATTAAGTTTGACTTAGTTCGTGAGGTTTTGGAATTTATTTGAAGTTGATTTAGATTTACAACTGTACCCAAGATAGATGCTGAACTGTCTATGTATCTAACAAATGGAATCAAGTCTATCGTAGTTCATGAAAAGAATTTTAAATTGTTATGGTGCCCAAGGTAGATGCTAGACTGCCTATGTATCCAAAAATAGAATCAAGTCAGGCGTAATTCAAAAAATAATTTTGAATTTGAGTGGGGTTTTAAATTACTGAAAGATCCATTTAATTTAGAACTTTATTTTATTTGAGTTGAAATGGGTGAATGACCCATTTGATTTGGTATGAGTGTAATACCCATTATGATTTGAATGAAGTTATATTTGACAACTTTGATTTGTGTGAATTTTAAGATTTACATAAATTATGAGTGAAGATGGAATTACTTCTATGTATTATGTGATTTAAAAACTCAAAAATTTATTAAGAGTCCAAAGCTCTTTCAATAAAGGTCATTGCGGAGTTTTAAACTCTGAAAATGAGTAAGAGTTAGAAACCCTTTAATTTGACTTTTTTGCACTATTCAATTTGTATGAGTTTAAAACTCAAAAAATAGAGAATAATTTAACTAGTTAAATTATTGTAACATTTTCCAAAAAGGGTCGAAGATTCACTATTGCATTGTCATGCTCTTTTAAAAGAATACCAGATTTTGGGTTATTGTGTGTTATCGGAGGAGATGAAAAAAACTCTTTTAGTTTACATCTTGGTCAGTACAAGTTATGAACTCCCCTAATCTATAACTTGTTTGCGCACACTTTGATAGGAATTAGAAACTCATTTGACTTATGGCTTGGAAGGAACTCTAGAAAATCCAAACCCCAAATCAGCGTCACAACGGTTTTGAATTGCCGCAATTATTTTTGAAGTTTTTCTTTTTAACCCACTTCTTTCTTTGAGGAGCATATGAAGGAGCTAAAGACTCCAAATATATTTAAAAAGAGTTGGAAACTCTCTTTGAACCATTACTTTTGTAAAGGAGTCGAAGTCTCCGAATTGAATTTAAAATTTTCTCGAACAATGAACAGCTTGGGCTAGAGGAGTTAAAGACTCTTTGCTGTGATTTTCATTTGCTTTTGGAAGATCTTAAACACTTAAAGAGGCAAAGGCTCCAAAATTTTTAGGAGTTAGAAACTACAATTTTCTTAGGAGTTTGAAACTTCATTAATTCATGACTTCAAAAAAAATTGTAACAAGTGAGAAGTAGAGTGACATCCTTGCAGATTTTCCTGTCTAAGCAGTATTTTGTGGAGTGACACCATGATTTTCGAAGGGTCCAACTCTCTTAGTGGCTGAATTTTTAAAGAGTCTAAAACTCTTAGCATTGGGCAAGAAGAAGTTCGGGACTCCGTTGGTGCTGTAGGAATTAAAAATGCCACTAGTCTGCTTTGCTACAAAATTTTTCTAGAGTTAGAAACTCCACATAATAATGCATTCACTCTAATGATTCTTTTAAGGGGAGTCAAAGACTCTGTGACTTAACAAAAAGTCAAAGACTCTTAAGAGTACTAAGACGAGTTTAAAACTCATATGATATTTTTGTTTTGTGTTGCAAACTTAAATAGTTGGAAACTCACGATTTATGACTTTCGAAGTGGTTTGGGATTGCCGAAATAGATTGATTTTTAAAGAATGTAAGGCTCTTAACAGTATCTCAAAAGGACAGTAGACGTCGACAACCTTTGGCTAAAAACTCCAAAATTAAGAGACCACAAGTTGATCCCTGCACCCTTCTTGAATTTCTTGTTACTAATTTTATACAACAAATAAGGTTAGTAACAAATTAAAATAGGATGGGAGGGAGTTTGAAACTCTCATTAGATTTGAAGTCTTGATTTTCTCCATATTGCTACAAAACTCTAGTGACGCAGGTTGAATTTGGACAGTAACTATGGCGATTTTCTGTTGGGTTTTTGTGAATTCAATAGTGCTCGTCGAGGAATTGAGAAAATATGACCGGTCTGAGAAGAGCTTGAAGCTCTTGCTAATTTCTCAAAAACATATGAGGCTCTTGGGGTAGTTGCACCGCAATGCACGGAAGGAACTAAAAACTCCTATAATCTGCAACTTCGACGGATCAGTGTCGCCGAAATTGTTTCGAATTGTTATGGTTATTCACTGAGTTGCTGCCATCAAATATTGAAAAGACTAAATCGACAAGGAAGATAGTAAACAGATTTTTTTACTTGAACACAAGATTTAGAACTTTTTTCGTTGCCTTCTTTCCTTTCCAAATCTCTCTGCCAAAATTTCTTCTTCCCTTTGTTAGTCATCTAAACTTTGTCCTTTTTTTTTTCTTTCTTGCCACCCATTGCCTTCCTCTTTAAATAGAGGATTTCCATGCATAGACATAGTGGGTAAAAGTACTCAAATTTTTGATTGGTCGCAATTTTCTACCCCACCTGACCATTTCTTACCCTACTGAGCGGCTAGCCGCAAAAATCGGGTAGGAATGCGAAAGAGTTTTTTATCTTTCGATTAAATCGAGTACGAGTACGAATACGAAATATCCATCAATTTTCGCATTCCTACCCTACCCTACCAGCAAAAATTATATTTAACTTTTTTATATTTTTTTTAGTAATTATAAAAGTATTTGTGTGGTATAATTTATATTATAACATTGTCATTGTTGTGGATGTTTGAGTTGCTAAAACATGAACTTGTTTTTTGTGTAGGTTATATAATTTGTGGTGAACTGGTGATCTATTGAAGCAGTTCTGATTATAATGTGTTTCATATGGTTTAAACTTAAGATAAATGTTATTGTATTTGTGTAATAATTATGATGGATTGATGTTCATGATTTCTTGTGTGTTATTGTAATTGTTGTTGTAGTTGTTTTAGATTTTAGTGTTATTGATTTATTGTGTTGTTAAATCGGTACATGTTATTTAATTATATTGTTAAAATGATCCAAAAATTAATAATTATAAAAGTGTTTACCCGAATTCTTATCCGACTTCCAACTCGATTAATCGGATAGGAATACCACACTTGATCGAGTAGGGGAAGACAAGAAAAAATTCTTTCGTAAAGTATCGGACAGGAAGACAGAAAACTATATTTCTTACTCATAGGGTAGGGTAAACCCCCCTAATAGTAGGCGAAGTGCCAAGTTACATGGGTTTAGTGGCCTCCGCATGTTCTGCCAGCTTCTTTAACTTCCCGCACTCCATTCTAGCTGGTGGGTCATTTACTAACCCCCATTATTTGCTAGGTGGGTTATCTCTTGGAATTTGTAGATGTATATAATTCATATACACAACATCATGTGAATAGCGGTTGAGAATTTTGTGGTCATTGTGTCGGCTACAACTCCTAGTTCCTGTTTCTTTTCTTTTTTTTTAAAGTTTGAACCAACATCCAATTCTCAAAAGTCATAAGGAACATATTTTTATTTAGAATGAGTCAAATTAAGATTTGGGTTTTGAAAATTGAGCTTAAAGGGTCGAGTTGTGGATGAATAATTCGAGCAAATCACACGTCGAGCATGCACCTGTCATTGACCTTCTCAAAATAAAAATTTGCATCGAAAGTTAACAAGTGTTAAATTTCTTTGTCATTTAACAGTAGGCTAAGTGGAACGAGGGATATAGTTCAGAGGTTTAATTTTAATTTGTTCTTAAAAAAATTAGCATTATTTAGGTCAAGTGAGTAATTCACCCGTAAAAGACAACTGTATCTAATGCAATACAATCACTTCTATCGTGATAATTTCATTAATGGTACAACTAAGGCGGGTGAACTAGTTCAATTTTTTATGTCGGTTCACTTAGTAGACTATTTTCTTTTTAATGGTTTTAATGACATTTGATAGGATTATAACATATTAATGTAATAGTTATTTTTCGTATTTGAAGGCACTAGGTAATAAAAAAATTGTTAAACATAATATATTTGTATTCATATTTAAAATTAAATTACAAACATAGATAAAAAAAAAAAAAAAATTTAAATAGCAATTATAGTGAGATGAGTGGTGTTGAAAAACGGTGATGGTAGATGTGGTGGAAGTGGTTGACAGTGGTGGGGGCAATGATGAGTGGTGCAATGGTGTGGGTGACAATGGGTGACGGTGGCTGACGACGGTGGTGGGCAAGGATAGGTGGTAGTGGTTGTGGTAGAGATGATAGTGGGAGTGGGGGTGGTGGTGGGTGTGGGGGTGGGCGCAATGGTGATGGTGGGGTGGCGACGATGATTTGCGATGTACAACTATCCGAAATTCGACAACGGTTTTGTCCTCGTCGGAGGCAGAGTCAGAGTTGAAGTCGGAGTCGGTGTAAGAATGGATGTCTAAAATCTGTTCCCAAAAAAAATCTGACTATATTATAAAAATATAAAAGCCCTATCTTAAATCTCCACCCAAACCCATTCTTAGCTCTCGCTGTCTCATTCTCTGTCTCTCTCCTCATCTCACTCATCGCTGGAGGAGGCTTCAACGTTGAACAGCCAACCCCCTCTACCTTCGCCGACAGTGGATTGTCCTCGTAAGCCATTCTCTATCTCTCACTCTATCGTTCTGAAAAGTCATCAACCACCCAAAACATAGAGAAAGAGTCCAGAAATCCAAATCGACGACAACAACTCTTCCGATTGAATCACAGATTTGAGGTCTCAGCACAGCCAATTGGATGTCCTCTTCAGTTAGTTTCAAACTTGTACATGTGTTTTGGACTTATAATTCTCACCATAGCATTGCTCGTTTCTTTAACGTCATTTTCGTTTCCTTTTCCTCCCCCCTAAACAACCCCTCTTTTTTTGGTTGAAACTGAAAACAACAACTTCATTCAAACTACAAGTCAATCAGTGGTAACAACCCCCATTAGCATCTTCCACAAATTAATCCAGCTCATAATGCATACTAGGAATCGTGCACACACAATACCCTTGTGTTGATAAAAATAGTTATGGAAGTAATTAGTAATTGAATACAATTAAAAAGAAAGTTATGTAATAATAATATAGTCATTTGTAGGTAGACACCACAAACACCCTCTCCCTTTATTAATGGTATAAATATAGCATCAAGTTGGGTAAATTACAATGACTGAAATTACAATGAGCTCTATGGTTTTTAGACTGGTTCCCATAAACTATTTGCAAAGATGACTCGATGTTGGTATGACGATCAGCAAAGTGGCTTTTTAAGCATTGTTTGAAGTTTGGGTTGATAATGTTATGACACTCCTTCAAGGTGATTGAAAAGATTCCTATTCTATTTAATCCCACTTTTCAGAAAATAAGTCTGAGTCACTGGTTTCATTCGGATTCACGTATAAGAAGAACTCAGAAATGCAGTCTTGCAATCCTCCTATTCTGGCAGTAAACACTCGCACCCAAAGAACTCTCTCTCTCACACACACACACAACACACGGACCCACAGATTTCGATTTTAATTTTGATTTTGGTTTCGGTTTCAATTCATTTTTTGGCAACAAAGGGATGGAGTAAAGAAGGGTATTAAAGTCTTTTTGTTCAATTCTGTTAATTTGGACGGATTTTTTAACTATGCACTTTAGTCCACTAGAGGGTTATGTGGAGGTTTTTAAACTTTAAGGGGTGTAAAATGAATTTGGGGTATAGCAAAAAGAGGTAAAGTGAAGTTTGCTCTTTTTTTTTTTTATTAAACTAAAGCCCCTAAAATGTGATAACTCGTAGTAAATTCCTCCTTCAGCCAAATATAATATTTAACAACTGGAACTACCTCACAAGCAATTGCTTCACCGTAAAAACTTTCTTGTTCTAAATAAGATAGTAACAAGTTTAGCAATTTGGCTGAATCAAAATTTCTGAAATGCATTCATCAACCAATTTGGCCATCTTGAAAATTCTAGATTTTTCTAGAAGCGCTCTCATATCCACATCCTTGTAATGAGGTGATAAATAGCCTGTAAAAGATTTCTAGAACCTTCCTCTTCTGGACGCTTCAGTAAACGAGCAACTCTTAAGAATCCCGCATGTTGTCTGAACAAAGATTCTTCACTTACTTCTGGTTGCATCTCATGCTTGGGAAGTTCTGGTTGCGATAATGCCCATTGCATTGCCCATATCGCCAAGGGCCGCATGTAACCTAGAGATCTGTATTTGCCATCGATGCTCCAACCCTCTGGAGTTTGAAAAGAGTAGCTGTCAAAGGGACAACAATGAAGTTAGTGAGATAACACGACAGAACTTTGTGAACAAACGAAAACTTAGGAAACGAGCTAATTGAAAATGGGCATTCTAGTAGTGTCATGGAGGCAAATAGCATAAGTAGCAGCAACCAATGTAGAGAGTTTAATTTGGTTATGTCTTCATGAAACAGCTTTTCACAAGATTGTCCCAGCTACTACTAACTGTATTGTCTTTGAACATCAAAGCACATATATGTCCAATTTGTCTGTGTTGGTGAGCATGGAGGAGTGACAAATAGATGTACAAGTACCAAGGTCAAGATAATATGCAATGAAAAACTTTATCACATGTTACAAGATATATAAAAGGTGTTTAATTGTTAAGATTCTAATATTTAATAGGAAAGTATGATAATGGTAACGGCTCTACTATAACACAAAGTTCAATTTAAAGAAAAGGACAGACATCATTAAAGTACTTTAAAATCAGAGACTTGGGTACAATAGTTCTCAATGGTTACCAGTTCTCTTTACCTATGTCTTCGTTTCCATCTAATAGAGGACAGGTGGTGACCTCTTGATTACAGTGAATTTGTCTCAACTTCCACTTTGGTAGGTTCAAAAAATGGCAGATGTTAGAAATCAAAGCCTCCCAAATAGGAAGGCCAGCCCACAGGCATACTATGATGTTGCAATGGTTGTGCCAAACCCCCTAAAGCAAAATAAGCACAATGGGAGTGCTGCATATGCAGAACAAGGTGCTCTGCTAAAACATGGAAAACCCATAGATGAGTACACTGTGTATGGATGGTACTCCCAAAACAAAGGCTTAGGTGTAACTCTAATCAGTTCAGGTTTTATGAGAAAGAAATACTGAATTTTATGGATGGATGCTGAAAGGAGGCAAACTGCAATGCTAAGAGCTATCTATTTAACAAATCACCAATAGTATTCACTAAAAATAATGTCCAACAAACTATAATCCATACAATACTGAAGCTTCAAAGTAATGTGTCCCCTGCTTCTGTGTTTCTGGGTGAGTGGCGGAACTCTTATGAGATTGAATTTTATAAGTTTCAACGCAACCATTTAGGCAGTAATCCGTCGGGTTGGCCTTGGATTCATGATAATCTGATACATCTCTAAAATCTGACACTAGCAAAAGTCATAAACTGGCTTTAACTACAGCTGTATCCTATTTTTCGGTTAACAAGATCTCTATAAACACTTTTTAATTTGCCACAAAGGAGAAATATTATCCTGTTAAAGAATGTAATATTCAGCCAAGAGTTTCTAAATCTTTATTTCCAAGTATGTCATCCCCAGCTGCAGAAGGACAATGCAAATGGAACAAACTTACCCAAGTCCTTCTTTGGACCAAGCTGCTTCATAGACTCCACCTGCAGTTTGAAATGCCATTTCCACCATGCCTTCATGAATCATAGCTGCAGCAACCCCATATGTAACACCAGCCCATATCTCTTTTGTCTGAATGCACGAGATGTCAGGTTCTCCACTGGGCAGCATCCCATTCAAAGCGCCAAGTCTCCCATCCTTCACCTTCATGACATTGAAACTAAAAACCTTCTCGAGTGCTACTTTTGCTTTCTCTTCATCGACAATGGGTAAAAGACTACATGCTCGGGCATACCTATAAAGTATCCAGGTAATTAGCATAGATTTACAAGAAAATAAATCTCTTCTAACCCCTGATTTAAATATAAATACAAACTGAAATGTCCACAATGTATACTCATACAGCCCAGTGTATACTCTTTCTCTGTACATATGTGTCACACACATACATGATGAAAGAAAGACGCGAAATCGTAGGCCGACTCCTCTCACGTATGCTTGTCAGTATTGTGGATATGTGAAAGTACCCCTAGCACTTATACTCCATACAACCCTCTGTGCATATGTTATGTATGTGGGAACATACATATATTTTGTATGTGTTAGTGTTAGACTCAAGGATGCTATAAGTAGCCAATGATGAAAAGAAGGCATTAATAAAGCATTTTGAAGGTGCTTTACTTTTTTTGTGGTAAATTACTTTTTTCCATGCTTTTGAAAGCAAAAGAATATAATAAGGCAAACTTTGTTTCTAAGATCATGATAAGTACTTCAAATATGCTCAAAACATGTAATAGAAGCTCCTTTAACTTTCATGTCATTGTCTTACAGAATGATCTGGATCCGGATGATATTAAGAAATACAGAACAAGCTACTGCTACTGCAACATACCATTGTCCAGCCAACTGATCAGCTTGAATAGATGTACTTGTGCTACTACCACTGTTGTCGTAGTTAAAATAAGAACCATTCCACAACCTATCATATACCTTCTTTGCCTTCTGAAATTTAAACCAAAAATAATCTGCAGAACCATTGTCACCAACTTCACGAGCCATAGCTGAAGCAGCCTGCAAGGCTGCCACCCACAGCCCCCCACAATAGGCACTAACACCAGAGGCAGCCCATGTATCATATGTCTGATCGGGGAACCCTTCATTTTCTATCATCCCATCCCCATCCACATCAAATTGTTCCATATAAGCCATTGCAATATAAACTGAGGGCCAAACAGCTCGCGCAAACTGTCTGTCTCCTGTGGCAACAACATCCCTGTAAACTTGCAGAACAAATTTTGGATTCAAATCTTTCCACCTATCTGTGTTGTAAAGGTTATAATAGTTTAATTCAAACCATGGATCATTCATTCCAATATCATGTGGAACAGCTCCAAGAACTTTTCTTGAGACTAGACTTCCATCATGCAGAAGTCTCATCTTACTAGGATCATGCATCATCACTGCTGCAGCATAGTCCCTTTGGATGCTAAGTTCCAGTTTTGGGAATAGCATGATTAAGGAAAAAGATGCATAGAAATGAACATCATAGGTGTTACCCATGTGATATTCAATCCCTTCCAGACAAATGAATTGTCCAATGTTTTCCTCCCCCTTTTGCAGCAAGTTTGTTCCAAAAGCGGAAGTTACTGGTGCTGAAGTATGAATCTCCTGAAGTACCGAAGCCATCCTTCCAAGAATGTCAACAGCAGTGTCATTTTCGTTGGATGTATTGATGCTATTTTTAAGATTTGAATTGGACCTATCGAGGGAAAACTTTGTTTCACCAATGATTGATAAACTATGCAATGGAGGTGAGCCATCTAGAAAAAGGACGAAAGATGAACTCAGATTCGCTTAATATGGCCAAAGGCAAACAACAAAGTTTCGTGTTTCCTCAAATACCTGTCCAAATTGTTCCCCCTGCATTAAGATAGTACAGCTCATTGAAAAGCGTGATTGGGTACCTGCAGAAGTATTGAAAAGTTAAAATTTGACTGTTTATAAGTAAGAATATGATCATCCAAGCTCACCATTCAGGAAGCCTCTTGTCTTCAAGTATAGGTCTTTGCCATGCATCTATCTGGGACTCCCATTGGCCATGCTCTTTAAGTATTCAAAAATAAAAATAAGGACTTGAATTTGAAACTAAAACTGTCAAGAAATATAAATTGAAGAGAGGTTTATATAAATTCATTGAAGCAAAAGCCCAAGAATCAAATATAGGATGGGAGTCTTGTATTATTACCCAGAGAAAATCTCACAAATATTAAAAACCATATGCTCCAACTGAATCTTCCAATTCAGTAAGACACAAAGGGAATATTACCAAAAATGGCATCATGTACAATATTTGCAGCGGCATCCCCATTGGTACCATAGAATCTAGTGTAACGCCTGTTCAGAAATTTTTCTCTTTCAGCTTTTAAGAAGAAAATGATATTCCAACCTGTCATGTAAATCTGACATGCTTTTGGCCACCCACCTGTGATAAGTCCTTCCGTTGAGGAAGGTTACTTCTGGGCAGTCCCATGCCAATGAAAATGTAACATTCTGTACTGCACCTGAGGGAATTGTCAGAGAAGCTGCAATGGCTGCCCCGATAGAAGTCCCCGGCTCTGAAGGCATGGATCTTTCCGTAAAATTGAGGTGGTCAAAGGATCCATGCTATTAGAACAGAAGTACATATCAAAGGCTGTCAACAATCCTTATATAATAAAGCCATGGGAAGATAAACAGAAAAAAGTGAAAAGTGAAAAAAATTGAGCCTCCTTGTCTGTTATTGACTTAAGGGAAAATCTTGCGTCAACAAATTTCTAAAGGCATTCTCCTCAAATACAGATTAAAAACTCACCCAGTTAGAGGAACAGGTATACATGCAGCTAAAACTAGAAAGAAAGAAACAATGTTGGGAAACAAAAAATACGTCCAAAAATATCATTTTTTATACAAAAAAGCAAAAAAATATTCATTACTGAACCTTTTTTCGGAAGGTTATTCATTCGTCAACTTGCACCGTGCTAAATCCTAGATCATTTCAACTTGTCATGCAACACTAACTATTTTTGAAGAAACATTAAGCAAAGTCCTTTTATATTATGCACAATTGTGAGCACGGAGCAGTAGACCACCAAACCTCTTTTATTTCATTCCACATGTCTTTAGCTGTGAGGCCCTGGCAGTTTCCAGATATCACGAAGCAAGGACACTTGGAGACGTGAACAACATTTGTTTCTTCTGCTGCAATAGCAAAAGTTACTGGGGGTAGTCCATTGGCAGTCCTGTATTAACATGTGGGGTGTTACAAATAGACATTAAATGATAAAATATTAAACCCTCTGGGGGAGAAGTCAAGAAATTTTCATCCGAATGGAGAAGAGGAGCTCACGTGTGATGCAAAAGTACACCATGAATGCCATCGTTTGACCTAATAGTGATAGACATTGTACATTAAATTATGTAACTGGAGTTTAAGAATCAAAAAAAAACTTTCACAGTGATAAATAAACAAGAAATATCAAATATTGATAAAACCCAATTACTTGGGGTCCAATCAATAATCTGAAAGATTGAAACCAATGATCAAATAAAAATAAATATGGAAGAGATCAACCTGATATCTGTTCATACCTCATATTTGAATTGGAGTGATGACCAGACAATCCAGAAATCCCACCAACAGAATTCTGAATGTACGTATTAAAAAAATGGTTACAAATTCAATTGGTCTATCAAAGGCCATAACCGCTTGAAGATTCTAGTTTCAATGAATAGGAATACAACCAACAAGGTTACATGCTGAACCAGAAGATCAGTTGAAGGAACTGATATGTGTGAGACTAAGGAAACTTACAGCCCATGAGAAAAGCAAGGTGATGTCTACAGCAGTCTTTCCAAAATTAGACAGCTGAGCGAATCAAAACTAACATCTTAGTAATGTTTCCATGAATAACTGATCCAAGAAACACCTAAGACCCTCTTTCCTACCGTAAAAGTAAACACTGCAACAGGGAAGCTGCTCTCCTTATAATTATGGGGAATAAAAGGGGAAATCTGACGACAGACTATTCTAAGTGCTGGATCAGGTTCACCTGTATTGAAATCAAAAAACTGACTCACGAACAAGATACATTATCCATTATCAAGGTCAGCAGATCAAGAAATATACCATATGATCATAAGATTACCTTCATATACAGTCCAAGCCCTCGGAAACAATGCATGGTATGTAGAATTCTGCCCACTCAGATTCCAGTCCCAAGATCCTATGCCAGAAGCTGAACTACCTCTGTGTATTAACATTATATTCAGCGACATTTTCACAGATGCTTAGAAGCAAAATTTTCCTGATGCAAATGAATTAATGCTAATTGGTGCAATCTTTCTTTCATTACTCTTGTTTTATTTTTTTGGCTTTCCTTACACTCATTCAGATCTCACTCGTGCAATCTCCAAGAACAAAAAAAAAAAAAAAATAGGTAAATACAGTAGTTGCTTACTTCAAGACTTCTGGGCTAGTTGGGCATAGTACAGTAGAATACTTTTCCCCATTTGGGCGGGAAACAAAAACCTGCATTAGGATGTCAAATTCAAATGAAGCGATTTCAATAATTTGGCAAGCTTAGTATCTATTCCTAAAGATCTGACGTAGCTTGAGATCTTGTTCTACAGATTTATTTACTTTCTCAATATAAATTGTCCAATGACTTGTTTGAGCTTAAGCAGTTATTAACTCGGCTTCAATGTGCGGGTGTGCATGTCAGCCCTCAAGTGCGTCACATGCTCAGCACATTACAATTTAAGTGGAGTACAACTCATAGACCTTATGGTCAAGAATTTTAGATTACTACTGAGTTATGACTTATGAGGTTGTATCATTCCCCAAAAATAAATGTCTTAACAAGAGCATAACGCTACTGATGCAATCCATAGGATGCTCAAGAAGAGGCAAAGTCAACGACATGAAGAATTATGAATTGGTTTCCCATCAAGATAAAGACTCATATGAAACCCTACATAGTTTTATTTGAGTCTTATTTTTAATTACCTTTAGTAAGTTTGATGGTATTTAGTACTTTGTGTCTTTTTATATATTTAGGGTATTTTGTTAATTTTCAAAATTTTTAGAATGGGTCATATTTTTGGGTCAAATTCTAGTGTTGAATATTCTAGAATTTAAAGTTTTAGTTCTAGTTAATTTTAGTTTTCTAATTTTTAGGGAACTAGAGTTTTTGTAATTCTAATCTTTTTGGGATTAGCAATAATTAGAACAATATAAATAGTTAATGTTACTTTTAATAAAAGAGAGATATTTCAGAAATTCAGTAATTATATGCTTTTTGAATTGTGTGATGCAATTCTAACCCTAGGTATGATGCCTAAGGAACCCTAGGAGTGATTCCTAGCCTATTTTTCCATTCTCGTACTATTCACAGCATATTTCATTGTTCACAACCACAAAACAGTCCACATTTTGATTTTACACAACTGTCCTACACTAGCTACTATCTATAGCAAATTTTGTAAAGAAAAAAAAAGTGGTCGGTAGTATTACACCATTTTGGAGAGTTTGGTTCTTGGACTCAAGCACATGACATGGAAAGCCTCAGAACCCCTGATGAAGGCTTTCCCCATGATACCATTAGAAAGTTGACTAATGGCCAAATTTTTTGGAAAGTTTTTCGCATACAAGAGGCAATATAAACAACTTGTGTACTAACTAAGCCTCAAAGACAGCGTCTTCCCCCACCCTCTAATCAATCTTCTTTTTTCTTATTTCGGGAGGGAAAGGGGTCCCTACTTTCTTCGTTGCAATCCTCTTTTCATCGATTTTCACTTCAAACATGATCTGTACTACTTGGTGGTGTGTGGTAAGATTTTGCAAGCTAGTTCCTAATATCTATTGAAATCTTTGTGCTCAAGAGGTTGGTAGTTGGCTTCACACCCTCCTCCATTAAGTTTCCTTTCTTCCTCTCTTTTCTTACCCATGTCTTTTCCATCCCTTCCGCCTTATTTCTTTCCCTTCTTCCAATTCCAGTCACATTGGCCTTATTCATAAATTTTTCCTCCACATTGGTAACAAAGTTGTGCCCCAGCACAATGGAAAGGTTACCCCTTGTGATATGGGCATCATAAATCCTAGTCATGGCTAAAGCAAATAGATGAGGACTTCATAAGCATCACCGGCCATTAGAAAGTTGGCTAATGGCCAAATTTTTTTGGAAGTTTTTTGCATACAAGAAACAATATAAACAACTTGTATACTAACTAAGCCTCAAATACAGCGTCTTCCCCCACCCTCTAATAAATCTTTTTTTTTCTTATTTTGGGAGGAAAATGGGGTCCCTACTTTCTTCCTTACAATCCTCTTCTCCTCGATTTTCACTTCAAACATGGCCTGTACTACTTGGCGGTGTGTGGTAAGATTTTGCAAGCTGGTTCCTAATATCTGTTGAAATCGTTGTGCCTTGTGCTCAGAGGTTGGTAATTGGCTTCACACCCTCCTCCATTAAGTTTCCTTTCTTCCTCTCTTTTCTTACCCATGCCTTTTCCATCCCTTCCACCTCATTCCTTTCCCTTCTTACAATTCCAGCCACATTGGCCTTAGTCATACATTTTTCCTCCACATTGGTAACATGGTTATGCCCCAGCACATTGGAAAGTCACCCCTTGTGATATGGGCATCATAAATCCTAGTCATGGCTAGAGAAAAGAGATGAGGACTTCGGAAGCATCACTGGCCAACGGCCAAATTTTTTGGGAAGTTTTTTGCATACAAGAAGCAATATAAAGAAACTTGTGTACTAACTAAGCCTCAAATACAGCATCTTTCCCCACCCTCTAATAAATTTTTTTTTTCCTTATTTCGGGAGTGCAATGGGGTTCCTATTTTCTTCCTTGCAATCCTCTTCTCCACAATTTTCACTTCAAACATGACCTGTACTACTTGGTGGTATGTGGTAAGATTTTGCAAGCTGGTTCCTAATATCTATTGAAATCTTTGTGCTCAAGAGGTTGGTAGTTGGCTTCACACCCTCCTCCATTAAGTTTCCTTTCTTCCTCTCTTTTCTTACCCATGTCTTTTCCATCCTTTCCGCCTCATTTCTTTCCCTTCTTCCAATTCCAGCCACATTGGCCTTAGTCATACATTTTTCCTCCACATTGGTAACAAGGTTGTACCCCAGCACAGTGGAAAGGTTACCCCTTGTAATATGGGCATCATAAATCCTAGTCATGGCTAAAGCAAATAGATGAGGACTTCGTAAGCATCACCGGCCATTAGGAAGTTGGCTAATGGCCAAATTTTTTGGGAAGTCTTTTGCATACAAGACGCAATATAAACAACTTGTGTACTAACCAAACCTCAAATACAACGGCTTCCCCCACCTTCTAATAAATCTTCTTTTTTTCTTATTTCGGGAGGGAAATGGGGTCCCTACTTTCTTCCTTGCAATCCTCTTCTCCTCGATTTTTACTTCAAACATGGCCTTTACTACTTGGTGGTGTGTGGTAAGATTTTGCAAGCTGGTTCCTAATATCTGTTGAAATCTTTGAGCTCAAGAGGTTGGTAGTTGGCTTCACACCCTCCTCCATTAAGTTTCCTTTCTTCCTCTCTTTTCTTACCATGTCTTTTCCATCCCTTCCGCCTCATTTCTTTCCCTTCTTGCAATTCTAGGCACATTGGCATTAGTCATACATTTTTCCTCCACATTGGTAACAAGGTTGTGCCCCAGCACAGTGGAAAGATTACCCCTTGTGAGATGGGCATCATAAATCCTAGTCATGGCTGAAGCAAATAGATGAGGGCTTTGTAATCATCACCGTTTAAGTTTATTAAGGCATTAGGATAAAAATTCAATAAGCTTCATTGATGCAAGCCTAGCAAACAGATTCATTTATCTCTTCCCTCTTTACTCTTGTAAGAGCTTCTACAATGTTGAATTTCAATTTTTCGTCTTTGTCCTAAACCACCAGATTTCCCATCATAGTTAACCAACAAAGGCAATCCCTAATAATCCAGACTGCATCTCCTAATAATTTTATTCCTGCATATCATACCAGAAATTCAGAACCCCCAAACTAAAATACCAAAAAACTAAGAACCAGGGGAATGGCAGGAAATATACCAGATCAAACTACGTCCAAACAACCAAACAAAATTTCATGTAGTAAAATGAAGCTCCCCTCTCATAGATAAGTTGTTTATTATAACAGAAGCATCAAACTTACAGAAAATTGGTTTGCTAAAACTGGTTTATCTTCACATATTCTAGGGAATAGTTGCCAACGCAAAAATTCGCCTTTGTAACTTCTTCCGATGCTTCCTGCACTGGAAATGGTGTTCTCTCAAGAACAAGGAAAAAATATGAAAGGTCTATGAGCATACTGACCAATGGAGACCCACAATGATCACTTGAAAAGATACAGTAACAGAATCTGGTATACAATTACAGATAAGCAATACAATATGATACTATAAAATGTGGACATAAAAAATGAGGGTCTTATTCCAAATAAAAACAAGGTGCCAAAGAAGGCAACTCCTAGGAATGTAGGCATGACATAGTAGTCTCATTTGAGAACTCCTACAAACTATAAGAATGAAACATTTTATGTTTTTTGGGTGTGTGTTTGCAAGTTGCATAAGAGGGAATATAATGAGGAATATAGTACTCTTATAGCAAGTTTTGTAGCATAAGAACTATAGGTTGAATATGGAACACTCAGGAGTGTCTAACACATCAATTTTGGATAAAAAGGATTATCCGCAATATTAGAAATATTAGGAGTGTCTCAGAAGAGACATATAAGGTTTACTGATAAGAACAACTTGGCATACAAGCTAGTGTCATTAAATTAGACTGAAGACTTACCCAATAGCACCTAGAGGAACACCTTGACATGATGTGAGAGGGGCCCTTGTGAAAGGATTTAAGAATGCACCCTGCAACAATGAAACAGAAATATGCATGACATGCTTCTATCATAACCAGAGCACCCATCATAATTAAGATCGACAGTTTAGCAGTAAAAGAATTTACCCCGCCTCTAGCAGCTTCTTCTCGCATATGACGCCATAGCCGATACCCTAGTGGAATCTACAGAAAACCAAACAGCTAGACAAAAATAGATGGACAGAGCATAAACCAAAGAGTATAAAAGAGGACACTAGAAGCCCGCATGATTAATGAAGGCCCCAAAGCTCATGCATTTGCAATGTGGTCTGCTGTATCACAAAAATTATCAAGCATTCAAGCATATATTCAAGTAGAAAGCTGTTTCTTGTATATTTCCAGAGTTGGACATATCGCATGCTACGCCTGAACGCAGTTTAAGGTGAAAATTGGGGGTGGACAAGTAATGAGCTTGACAACTACATTAAATGGTAACACACGGTACATTCAGGACTTCTTACCCAGATTACTATCTTTTCTATCCGTTCTTATAATCTAAAGAATGGTTTCCAACTTATTCTCCAGTTTGACCCACACTTTCAATGGAAAAGTGTATGGTTGATCAACACTTCTGAAAGCTTTGTATTGTAAACATGCTTCTACATTGAAAACGCTTTAATTTAAACAACAATAAAATGGAAAATAAATTACAAATTGCCGTATCTAAGGAACAAGACACTTATTTCAAATCCATCAATTTGAAATAGGGAGACCAAACCTTAGGGTGAAAGAGTAAGATTGAAATCCATTACCCCAAAATTCAGGAGAGCCAAGTCATTCAATCAGTATATCTTCGGCTTGAAAAGACATTGTCAGAAGCTCCTATACTTTGAGCTATTTTTTCAGTTCTTACAAGCATATTTGCTCCAGAAGCCTAGAGTCCTAGACCACTTCATAAGGGCCTCACTAATTTAAAGTTAGAGCTCTCTAGATGTTTAATTCACAGATTTTTAGAGTATTAAATAGACACCCTAGCTTGGGAAAACTTGCCCTATTTATTGGTCCAGAATTAGATTTGTCTTGGGGTCAAAATAAATACAAATTTGTCACTAGAATGAAAACATGGTTCAAACTAGATATGTGGAGCAGAGACCCCTCAGTCATCTTAAGATCACTTGAGCTGTCAGCAGACCACTCGAACGGCCTGAGAGCGACCAAGAGGACTGACAAATTTGTGAACAAGGATCAAAATTTTANTCCAGAATTAGATTTGTCTTGGGGTCAAAATAAATACAAATTTGTCACTAGAATGAAAACATGGTTCAAACTAGATATGTGGAGCAGAGACCCCTCAGTCATCTTAAGATCACTTGAGCTGTCAGCAGACCACTCGAACGGCCTAAGAGCGACCAAGAGGACAGACAAACTTGTGAACAAGGATCAAAATTTCANTTAAGATCACTTGAGCTGTCAGCAGACCACTCGAACGGCCTGAGAGCGACCAAGAGGACTGACAAATTTGTGAACAAGGATCAAAATTTTATTTCGGTGTATTGTTTCGGTTACCTAGGAAACAAAAACGTTTTGACATGTTTCGAAAATATTTTGACCCGTTTCGGAAACATAATAAAAAAATAAAAAATTTAAGAATTATTTTTCTAAAATATTGATTTAAATATATCAAAATACCTTAAAACATTCCGAAATAATTGTACAAATGCATTGAAATATTGTAATATATTCTAAAATATTATAAAACACCTCGAAATATTAGAATTTCGATTTCATCACTGATTTGTTTCGGTCTTCTTGAAAACAGAAACGTTTCAAACATTTCGAAACGATATTTTGATCCTTACTTGTGAGCCCTCTCCAATGCTTTTCCAATTGTTCAGAGACTATTCTAGCCAANATTGTACAAATGCATTGAAATATTGTAATATATTCTAAAATATTATAAAACACCTCGAAATATTAGAATTTCGATTCCATCACTGATTTGTTTCGGTCTCCTTGAAAACAGAAACGTTTCAGACGTTTCGAAACGATATTTTGATCCTTACTTGTGAGCCCTCTCCAATGCTTTTCCAATTGTTCATAGACTATTCTAGCCGAAGTTAAGTGAACAAATGAAGGTCTCTACCGATTTGCAAGCCAAAAACCAATAAAAAACCTGACCTATTGAGTTTAAGCACTATAGAGTGTTGCACAAATATGATCTAATTCATGACTCATTCTATGTTCTCAAAATATATTTAACGTTACATTTTTTTTCATGAAAAGCTGAAGAGATAATCCCAAATCTATTTCAATTGATCCTAATTAGCCTAAATTTAAAATTAAACCAAGGATTTTTAGGTCTCTAGATCATTACTTTTGTCATAAGCTCTTGAAGGTACATTAAATTTTTTTTTGAATCGGCTTTGAAGCTTGAACTCCTTCCTTGAAGCTTTAGGAACATGATCTTTGAAAGCATTATGACCATGGATTTAAGTTGAGATTTATAACAATACTTCATGAAATTAGTCAATTACAATCAATTTCCTAACATACCATATTCATTTTTAAATACAGGGAAGTGGGAGAAATTATCCAATTTGATTTCTCCACCAATCTTTTAATTGCACCGGCAAAATATACAAAATTCGTCATCTTTATAGATAAGTCGATAAGGAATGATCTTTTGTAATTACTCCTTAGTTTTCTAGTAAACACTCGACTAAAAATTAATATNGGAAGTGGGAGAAATTATCCAATTTGATTTCTCCACCAATCTTTTAATTGCACCGGCAAAATATACAAAATTCGTCATCTTTATAGATAAGTCAATAAGGAATGATCTTTTGTAATTACTCCTTAGTTTTCTAGTAAACACTCGACTAAAAATTAATTTTGTGAAAAAGTAAACCATATTAGATATTACACTTTCATATATATACATATGTATAGTACTATACTTGTATTTCAATAGTAAGTGAAGGAGCACATCTAAGGGCAAAAAAACAAAAATGCAAAATAAATGATACCCAAATTTTTTTAAAAAATAAAAACAATAAATTTATTTAAAAAAATGTATTATCAAACGATACGAAACTTCCTGCTAGAATTTGCTTATAGGAAAGAGCAATATATTGCAATAAAATTTTCAGACATACCAGGGATATTGTCTCCTTCAAAGTTACAGTGAATGATGGGAGTACATTTTCCTTGGTGTTTAATTTTCGCTGCCATGTCAAAGATGCTGGTTTTCCTGGATNGCACATCTAAGGGCAAAAAAACAAAAATGCAAAATAAATGATACCCAAATTTTTTTTAAAAATAAAAACAATAAATTTATTTAAAAAAATGTATTATCAAACGATACGAAACTTCCCGCTAGAATGTGCTTATAGGAAAGAGCAATATATTGCAATAAAATTTTCAGAAATACCAGGGATATTGTCTCCTTCAAAGTTACAGTGAATGATGGGAGTACATTTTCCTTGGTATTTAATTTTCGCTGCCATGTCAAAGATGCTGGTTTTCCTGGATCCACCTTAACCTAGAAATCAAAGAAAAGGAAACTAGAGATTAGATCAGCACTCAAAGGGCTTAAAATATGAACTCTTAGTCTATTCCGTATGATGGGTGCAAAATTAAAGGAAAGATCGTAGGAAAGATACACTTTCTATCCGATGGAATATATTTTTTTTCCCTTTCTTTGGGTTTCATAAGAAGNATATGAACTCTTAGTCTATTCCGTATGATGGGTGCAAAATTAAAGGAAAGATCGTAAGAAAGATACACTTTCTATCAGATGGAATATATTTTTTTTCCCTTTCTTTGGGTTTCATAAGAGGAAAGAATCTATACGTGTTTGGTTTTGGTGAAAAAGTGAAAGCAAGAGGAAAAGTGGAGATGTATGGCTTACTACAATATTCACACATGTGAAGTTAATTTACCTATCATGTTTAGCTTATTAATAGAGTATATTTATTAAGGTATGAATAAGTAAATAACTTATGTACACACATGGATTTGTCTTTACTTTCACCTTTACACCTAATTTAGGAAATATATTTTGGTAGGATGGAAAAAATACTCATCCCTCCAGTTATTTTTTCTTTCATAATACTTAATATGTCTTTTCTCTTTTTCATACTTTTATTTTTCCATTCATCCACTTTTTCATCATACCAAACAAAGTAGAAGAGACACAAAGTGCCATCGAAAAATATTTGGGTATGTCACTATAATGCCAATTGTCAAAAGTAGTTAATTGTGTCCAAACCAACGTTCAATTTATAACTAACAAATATATAGTTGCAAGGATGTTTTAGACCAAGGTTGAAGCTATATATATCAACTAGGATTAAGTTTTTCGGTGCTTATTTTGTTTGAGTAATTATAAGAATTGATGGTGTAAAAAATTGAGAAGCACGATAAGTTATAGATTGAATATTAAACAATAAAGAATGCAAGAATTAGAGTGGTTCATCCTACTAAAGAGCAAGAGCAGTCAACTGTTGAAGAGAGGCTCTTGCTCGTGGGGGCGTGTGTTATTGCCCAAGGAAGAAGAAAATACACATTAGGGTTTTCTAGGGGGCAATGTATATGCTTACCCCTTGTTACATTATTTCATTATTTTTATAACAGATTTGTCAAGGAATATTTGGGAGAATATTTTGAGAATCTGGCCGTTGAGAGACTTTAAGCTCAAGGCAAGGTGAAGCTTCTAGATGGCTCAACATCTTGCCGAAGGTAGGTTTCTTGAGAGGCGCCCCATACCATTTAGGTAATTTTCAAGTTTGAAGAACATTCCTAACGAATTTGCATACATGTCCTCGTCCTGAAGTGTGTCTAGGTCAGTTTTGTTCTGTTGGTCTACTCAACCATGACAACTAGGTCAGCAGATCTGAATTGCCTATGTTTTGGTATCATCGTCTGCCGCCAGCTCTAAGTTGAGCTTGAATAGACTTCTGGTCGAGGATGAGCTCTTGGATTGTGTCAACAATCGTGTTCCTTGAATTGCGCATAACTAAAAAGACGTGTCCAATCGTTATCCCATCACTACGCAATTATGATGACATGTCGCATGTATAGCGCCTTGATTTGTGGAGCATGCTTCTCACAAGGTAACACGTGACCCACAGATGCTAGCGCATTAAATGAGCTATAGTGCGTTTTAACTGTTAAAAACCTTTTTGAAGTCCCGTTCATTGTTACCTCCATCTTCTTCATCTTCTTAGAATCAAAGAGGCCTTGAGAGGTTTCGTTCCAATAGTCATTGTTCCCATCATCAGAGTTTGCTTTTCTCGTTGATTTTTGAGTTTAGTCGACTTTTCTTTTAGGTACATCCACTCTCTTTTGCTACTTTGGATGCATCTGGCCCTTGGTGGTGGCCAAACATCTTTTACTTCATAGTTTTTAGAGTTTGTTACCATCAATGGCTTAGGAGAACTCGAGATCCCCTTCCTTACTTTGTCCATTGTTCAATTGTAGCAAGGATATCCTTTGTTTACAACTTGTGTTTTGAACCACAAATTATTGACGATAACTTTTTGCACCTTCCTCGCCTGTACCTCAGGCTGAATTGCTTGGTTCCCATGTCTCGAGTCATTTCTTCATCATCTTCAGATTCATCGTCTTCCATGGTCTCCATATCTAGGGATAAGTCCACCTAAGTTGAGGTCAATTCAACCTCTAAGGATGACGGTGTTGATCTGTTGGAGATATAGCAGCAACCTAGTTTATTAGGGTTTTTATTAAATTTTTTTTTTTTATCTTTTTGTCCTTATTGTAACTCTCATTGACTATATATACGGGGGCTCTATACTTAGTTTGTATCCCTTTCACTCACATTTATTTCAAGTTGGTATCAGAGCCACCAACCCTAACCCTAACCCTCACCCTAACCCTAGCCTCCACCAAACATCGCAACCAGCAGCAGCCTCCACTCCATCAAAATCAGCAACCCCATCAGCCCCCGGCAGCATCCCAGTGTCCAGTAGCCTCACCCACAAACCAGCAACACAACCAAGACTGCCTCTGCTGCAAACACCCAGCGACAATCCAGAATAATCTCATCCTTCACTACCCAGCACCGACAAACAGCACAGGCCAGCATCCCACCGACAGCTAAGCAACCGACCAACATCCCACCGAAAAACAGCAATTATATGTTTCCCAACGAAAAACTCAACCCAGCAAACCTCCTCACCCACAAACCAGCAACACAACCAAGACTGCCTTTGCTGCAAACACCCAGCGACAATCCAGAATAATCTCATCCTTCACTGCCCAGCACCGACAAACAGCACAAGCCAGCATCCCACCGACAGCTAAGCAACCGACTAGCATCCCACCGAAAAATAGCAATTATATGTTTCCCAGCGAAAAACTCAACCCAGCGAACCCAACTGCCTAACAAATCAGCAAAGAACCAATACAGCCACCGACAGCCTCAAACCCACAAACCAAACCTAATAAACAAATTAGCCCAGCAACCTAATAAACCAAACTCCTATTTTTGGGTCATTCCTGACCAGCCTAGCAACCCAATAAATCGAACTCCTACTGTTGGGTCATTGTCCAACCCAATGTTGGGTCGCGTTTTTCGTTAAGGCTTCGTTTTAGGATTTTTTTTATGAGGGGTTGAATCCCCTTTTTCTCCGTCTATTGATATTCTCTTGATGTAGTAGATTATTTATATTTACTGGATTTCTGAGCACCGTGATCTAATTATTTGGGGAGTTTTGTGAACCTTCTTTATCTGTCGCTACTGTTTGACTGGAGGTATATTGTTCTCCCCTATTTTATCCCTCTATTTTCCTGTCACGGGTGCTCTAGTATTATTGTTGATATGACTACTACCACTGAGGGACTTGAGACCCCTACTGTTGACATCCCTACTGTTGAGACATCCATGGGTACTTCCACCTTTATGTTTGACCAGTATATAGTACCTACTAGCACAGTTGCATTACTAGCACTACCGGACATGATCTCTCAAAAAGTTACGGCACAGTTGTTGAATGGTCATAACTTTGCTGAGTGGTCTCGTTCATTCCAGCTTTTCTTAGGCCGTGCANCTCAAAAAGTTACGGCACAATTGTTGAATGGTCGTAACTTCGCTGAGTGGTCACGCTCATTCCAGCTTTTCTTAGGCCGTGTAGGGAAGCTTGGTTGGCTGACGAGATCTCACCCAAAGCCAGCTGATGCCGACCCTGGATATTTTGTGTGGTTCTCTAAGAACTGCGCCATTCTTGGATGGTTATTTGGCTCGATGGAGCCATCTGTTTGCAGGATCCACCAGTTTCATAGCTCTGTTCCGAAGCTATGGAGCGCATTATCAGAGATGTATTCTCAGTCAGGACGGGGAGTTCGTGTTTATGAGCTTTCTCATGAGCTCTCATATGCTCAGCAGGGAGATATGACCGTTCAGGATTATTACGGCTATTTGACCCAGCGCTGGCTTGAGTATGAGACTCTACGTCCTCTTGCTGCTATTCCGAGGATAGAGCCCAAGGGAGCAGCATTCTTGTATACTCGAGAGTAGGAGGATAGGATTCACAAGTTCCTTATGGGGCTTTGTGATGAGTTTGAGGGACCTCGTTCTCAGATATTGTCGATGTTGACACTTCCTTCTCTTTATAAGGTGTATGGGATGATTGAGCAGCATGAGCGCCGAGTTCGTATTACATCACTTCCAATTATGGCTTTAACTCCTTCGGCTGATCAGATGGCCTTTGCAGCTGCTGTAGGGTCTCGTTCTGGATCCTCAATCAGGGGTGGGCAGCGCTCGGATCAGCGCCGTCAGGGTGCCCCAGATCAGCGTAGACAGGGGGATTCTCGTCAGGGTGCCCCAGATCAGCACAGACAGAGGGATTCCCGTCAATGTGATTATTGTGGCCGACCAGGACATCTCAAGACTACTTGCTGGAAACTCCATCCAGAGCTTAAGCCGCCTCCTCGCAGTCGTACTGTTGCTATTGCTGAGGTACCACCACCCACTACCGTTATTCCTGCTGCTGCTGCTCCACCTTGGCAGAGTGATATGGATGCTATCACTTCCCGATTAGATATATTTATGTCTGCTCTGACTTCTCAGAGTCTGACTACTGCTGCTGTCACCACTACAGGTATACCTCGTTTCTTTCACGCTTGTGCCAGTTCATCTCCCCTTTGGATGTTGGACTCGGGTGCGAATGGTCACATGGCAGGTGAGGCCCATCACTTCACCACTTTTGACGAGCCGTTACATACACAGGTTCAGTTAGCAGAT